GCACTCTTCCGTGCCGTACGGGAGATTGTGTGGCAGCGGCGTTTGTTGGCTGAATTGGGGGAGGAGCAGCAAGGACCTACCCCACTGTACTGTGACAGCCAGGGTGCCATTGCTCTTGCTAAGAACCCTGTGTTGCATGGACTCACGAAGCACATGAGGGTGAAGTGGCATTGGACGAGGAGCATGGTAACCGCGGGTGAAGTTGAGTTGCGCTACGTGAAGACCACGGGGCAGCCGGCTGACATGATGACCAAGAGGCTGGTGGAGCAGCAGCATTGGAAGTGTTGCAAGCTGGCTGGGATGGCTCTGAACTGAGAGAGCAACATATCCTAAGGCCAACAATCCGAGGGGGAGTTTGTTGGTGCAACCCTACGGTTTGCACTCGGCTTGTTGTCCGTGTGCGTGAATGTGTGTGTGTATGGAATGGTATGAGGGCATGGGATAATATATATTTCATGCTTATAATTGTGTGTGAATGTTGAGTCATGATGTCGAGTGTGTGTGTCGAGTCAATAGCGAGTTATCGCTAGACGCGTGTTACGCGGTCGTTTGTGTCTCGCGCGCGGTTTCTATTTTGTCGTGCGCGGTTTCTATTTTGTCCTGTGTCGAACGTTCGGCGTGTCGCAGGTGTGTGCAGCAGACCCATCAAGAACTCAAGGATGAGTTTGTGATGAAGAGCCCGAGCCTTGGTGTCAAGCCTCAAGTGATTTCGAAGCTTGCCAAAAGGGTACACCTCAAGATATTGAAGATAGTTACATTACTTTGTGTAGTGTAACATTTCACTTGGTGTAGGCCCTAGTGAAGGGTAGTTTCGAGACCCTTCGTGGTTGGGGACAGTGTGGCACTGTTCCACATCACTGTACCTCGGCTCTTGGGGTTTGTAGGAGCTGGGAGTCATTCCCAACTCGTAACTCTTCCTATCTTGTGTTCTAAGACTATAGTGGCTGCCATAGTACCGTTCGTTCAAACCGACGCTGTATCGTCAATTCTTTATCAAATCGTGCAATCTAAATTCTAATTGTAGACGACGTGAAGACGCTCCAGATCCAATTTGAATCAAGTCATTTGCAGCTGTGAGCAGAACGCTATCAATGTTTGAAGCCGCTGTGCAGAAATCCGTCTGTGCTCTCTATCTTTCGTTTTAGGCACATTCAAGCCTATTGTGACTATAACATGGCAAAGGCGGCAAGGTCAGGGAAAAGGTACGGCAGCATGAGGCGGCTGAGGGCAGCAGTGGCAGGGGAGGAGTAGCGCGCAACTACAGCGTCGTACAAAGACTGAGCAGTCTTGTACTGGCCGAAATGCGCGCGCTCAGCAGGCGGCAGGTGACTACGAACAGCAAGACGAGCAACAGCGTCACGAGTGGTCCACTGTGAGCGAACCGTACTGTCAGCAGTGGCAGCAGGAGCAGTAGAAACACCGGACGTGTGATCGAAAAGGGATACCCCATCCCTAGAATCACACTGAAGAAAAAGCTGCAGGTCGTCAACCCACACGTCAAAGTCACCTGCACGTCCCTCAGCATCAAAGGTGAGAACAGTAGGGCTAGCCATAGCAGCAGTAGGAGCAGTAGTAGCAGTAATAACAGCAGTAGCAGCAGAGGTAGTAGGGCAGTGCAGGGCAGTGCAGCTCAGTGGGGCGGCGCGGCTCGGTAGGGCGGTGCGGCTCAGTGGGCGGCGCGGCTCAGTGGGCGGCGCGGCTCGGCTGGGTGGCGCGGCTTGGCTGGGCGGCGCGGCTCGGCTGAGCGGCGCGGTTCGGCTGGGCGGCGCGGGTGCTTACCAGCATGGGGCGCGCCAGCAGAGGGCCGCGTCAGCAGGGGGGCCGCGACAGCAGGGGGGGCGCGCCAGCAGGGGCCGCGACAGCAGGAGGGGGGCCGCGACAGCAGGGGGCACGTCAGCAGGGGGGGGCCGCGTCAGCAGGGGCCTCGCCAGCAGGGGGGCCGCGCCAGCAGGGGGCCGCGTCAGCAGGGGTTGCGCCAGCAGGGGCCGCGCCAGCAGGGGGCCGCGTCAGCAGGGGGCCGCGTCAGCAGGGGCCGCGTCAGCAGTGGGGCCGCGCCAGCAGGGGGGGGGCGCGTCAGCAGGGGCCGCGACTGCAGGGGGCCGCGTCAGGTGGGGCCGCTCCAGCAGGGGGCCGCGTCAGTAGGGGGCCGCGCCAGCAGCAGGGGCCACGACGGGCTAGGGCCGCGACGGCTAGGGGCCGCGACGGGCTAGGGGCCGCGACGGGCAAGGGGCCGCGATGGGCTAGGGGCCGCGATGGGCTAGGGGCCGCGACAGGCTAGGGGCCGCGACGGGCTAGGGGCCGCGACGGGCTAGGGGCCGCGACGGGCAAGGGGCCGCGATGGGCTAGGGGCCGCGATGGGCTAGGGGCCGCGACAGGCTAGGGGCCGCGACGGGCTAGGGGCCGCGACGGGCTAGGGGCCGCGACGGGCAAGGGGCCGCGACGGGCTAGGGGCCGCGACAGGCTAGGGGCCACAAGGGCTAGGGGCCGCGACTGGCTAGGGCGCGATGCGCGCTTCGGACAGGGCAGGAAAAAAAACATTCGTGGTGGGCCCTTTAAAAAAAAACGTTCCCTCTAGGGAACCTGCTCAGAATACCATGTTAGAATGTGAGCGAATGAATGACTGAACTAGAAAGCAGGTGGGTACATATAGGAAACCTAAAAGTGTTGTACCCTGTAAGAACTACCCCACTACAGCCTAAACAGACTATAGCATATAAGTTTGACAAATCTTCCCACTAAGCAGTATGGGGCTATCTATGGCGGTACCTCCTTATTCAGCCAGGTGTGGTCGATTGCGTGAACCGGCTGTCAGAATCCCAACCACTAGACCATTGGGATAAAAGGGCTTGTTAAGTAGCGGGTCAGTGAGCCCATAACCCCCCAGGACAACGAGCCTGTAACCCTTCCCTAGGATCAATCGGGGATAACCAGTGGACCTCTGACACCCCCCCGCACTGGGATGCCCGAAGTGCACACACTGGGATTCGAACCCGAGACCTTCGCTCTGATACCATGTCAGAATCCCAACCACTAGACCATTGGGATAAAAGGGCTTGTTAAGTAGCGGGTCAGTGCGCCCATAACCCACCAGGACAACGAGCATGTAACCCTTCCCTATGATCAATCGGGGATAACCAGTGGACCTCTGACACCGGCACAATCACTCGGTGAGGGTCAGTTGGGTCGGGCGAGCGGCGTGACCTGTCAGTAGAGGGCCCGACTGTTACTAACTCCCAACGTTTCCCTGCTGCTTGGTCTGTTTCTGCTGCTCAGCTTCCCCCTTTCCCTTAGCGTTTTCCGGGATTCGCTTTTGCGGTGTCCCGGCCGATTGCACGCGAAGCAGTGCCCTTTGAACGGTGCAGCAGCGGCATTCGCGGCGACGGCACGTATCGTGGCGTGCTCATTCGTCCCCCGAGTCCGATGTCCACAGTTGCTGTTATTCCCGTAGGACCCCGGTCTCGGTCAGCGTAAGAAGTCGAGCTTCTCCGCCATAGCGAGAATCTCTTGAAATTCGGTGACGCCGCAGAGCTGAATTTCCTAGGCGATCTCGTGCTTCAGGCCGCCGATATAGCGGTCGATGCGTTCGCCTTCATGAATGTAGCCCACTTGCTCACACAGCGCCAGAAACCCGCTGGTGTAGTCCTGGACGGAACCGAGCTGGCGCCAAGTGCGGAGCTTCTTACGCGCCACGGTCAAAGCCGCAATTGGCTCGAATTGTGCGCGCAGACCTGCGCACCACGCGTCCCACGTGCGATATTGGGGCACCTCAACGAAATACGACGGCGCCCAGGGTCCGGTTTGTCCTTCCCGTGTCGGTAGAGTCGCGTAATCCGTCGGCGTCGTGACGATGACGCGCCACCAATCCATGGCGGGTCCTCGCAGCAGCGACACGGCGTAACAAATCTTCACCGTATCCTCCGAGACGTAGTTTGCATCGAAGAGAACGTTCATGGTGAATTACCACGCCTGAACGGTAGGACCACCCCGCTGACTCGGGTCAAAGCAAGGCGGACGCTGCAGCTTCAGCGGCATCGGCGATGGCAGTAGCTTCAGCGGCATCGGCGACGGCAGTGCTGACTCGCCGGTCGGCACCGAAATCGTGACGCGGGGTTGGCTTCTGGTCGCATTCGTCGCTCCGGGGTGTGTCGCGTCGTGGTCGTCGTCTCCGTCGTTGCGGGCGACGCCATCACTAGCCGCGCTCGAGGATTGCCCCACACTTCCGTGTTGTGATGCTTGTCGTGCGGGTTGTCCCGGTGTGCCTGGTGCTTTCAATTGTGCTTGTTGTGCTCGTACGACGTCATTTTGCAGGGACGTTCGTTCTGCCGTCAGCGCCGCAATTTCTTCGGAGCTTTCGTGCAGCTGCTGCAGCAGTTGGTTTAAGCGCTCCTGCGTGAGGCTCGTGATGTCGATATGCTCGGCCATTCCGAAGGGCGTCGGCTCAGCTTAGCTCTAGGCGCAGTCGTGCCTGCACGCGTTTACGAGAGAACGCGAGGACAGCGGCTCCTAGGGGCTAAGGGGCGTGAGTCCCTTCGAGCAAAAATCAAAAGTTGATTTCCTGGGTGCGGAGATGCGCGGTCCGAAAAGAAAAGTGGCTCTGAGTACCAAGTGTTACGGGTGCAATGGAACGAACTAGCGAGGATTGCATTATGTGGGTCAAAAGTACAAAGTACGGTATGAGCGAAGGCATGAGCGAATACTTATGTGCGAAAACATTCAACGGTTACGCGGTGCGTGCGAGCTAGCTAGTGCTAGGCTGGCATCGAGGTTCGGGCTAGTCCCGAAGCGTAGGCCGACTCGGCCAGGCCAGCGGTGCATGGTTTGGTAAAACAGTGTGCGCGAAATTGGCTAAGCCCCGTTAGTAGTAACGGGCGAACAACGGCTACTGCTGTACGCGTTGTGGATGGTCGCGGTAAGGAATGTGGAGAAAATTCCTTACAGAATGATAATCATGATAGCGACTCTGCACTAGGATGGAACCAACACCCTGGTAGTAGTTGCAGCTATGAGCCATTATGCAGCTCGTGTGAATCTGGTTCATGGGTGTGAGTGGCCTTTTGCAGACTGGATACACACACACTACTGTACGAGAAGTTAGAATGCCACTATGTTAGATACATACAGACACGGTATCACTACAGAATCTCACCCTTGATGCCCTTCAAATAGACTCCCTATCTGCTCGTTCACCTGTTGCGGAGTGTGCCTTATATATTTGGCTTGATGCCGCAGAGTGGCACCGTGTGTTTTGTAAAATAGGGTGTACAGTGATAGCACCCTGTACCGCACTGCCTGGTGTAGCTCCTGTTGCAGAGGGCCAGGGTTGACCATCCAAGTTCGCTGAACCCTGCACGCCTCTTCAAACAATGCCGAGAATTGCTTGAATATCTCCTGCAAGTTGCAATCACGAGCAACAGCATTGAACAAAACAGTGAGACAAATTTTATTAGTGAGCATGCAAGCAGGGCGTATACAGGATGAAGAATGCATGCAGTAAGCCAAATGCAACCACCCCAAGCAAGCCCTTGGGAGTACCTTGAGGGAACCATTGGGACTATTATAAGCCTTGGGATTACCTTGAGGTTGAGGAAGGAGGTGGTGGGAACCTCTCTTAGCAGTGCCACCACACAGTTCCACGCCACTTTCAGGTACTCGTTCGCCTGCTGCTGTGCACTTGGGATTACCTTGAGGGCGGGCTCGGGATTACCTTGAGGGAGCCCTTGGGGTTGAGGAAGGAGGTGGTGGGAACCTCTCTGAGCGGTGCCACCACGCGGTTCCACGCCACCTTGAGGTACTCGTTTGCCTGCTGCTGCGCCGTGTCCGCCCGGTCCCTGATCCAGTCGTCCCCCACCAGCATGCGCAGCTCACACCCCTTCACCTGCGCAGTACAGGAGGAGAGGAGAGGATGAAAGAGAGACGTCTGACTTTAGGAATACACAGGCCACCCTGAGGTAGTCGTTTGCCTTGCCTGCTGCTGCACTATGTCTGCCCGGTCCCTGATCCATTCGTCCCCCACCAGCATGCGCAGCTCACACCCCTTCACCTGCGCAAGAAAGGAAGGGAGGAGAGGATGAGAAAGAGACGCTGGTTTGAGACATGAACAGGCCACTTTAAGGTACTCGTTGGCCTGCTGCTGCGCCGTGTCCGCACGGTCCCTGATCCAGTCGTCCCCCACCAGCATGCGCAGCGCAGCTCACACAACTTCACCTGCGTGTGAGCGTCACGGTTAGGGAGGAGAGAACAGAGGAGAAAGAGGCATTAGTCGACTCAACTCAAGTGTCATGTCTGACCTAATCCAGTTGCCCCCCACCAGCATAGCATGTACACCTCACAGCTCTTCACCTTGCACGCAGAAGAATGTCCCAGCTTGTCTGCAATACCCATATTACCTTGCGCACAATATACTGCACGTTGTTTATCATGAACAAGTGCGCCAGCCCTGCATCCCTGCATGGGAAAGCTCACACTCTTCACCTTGCATGCAGACTACTCTCCCAGCTCACAGCTCCCTCAGCTTGTCTGAAATACCCATATTACCTTGCGCACAATATACTGCACGTTGTTTATCATGAACAAGTGCGCCAGCCCTGCATCCCTGCATGGGAAAGCTCACACTCTTCACCTTGCATGCAGACTACTCTCCCAGCTCACAGCTCCCTCAGCTTGTCTGAAATACCCATATTACCTTGCGCACAATATACTGCACGTTGTTTATCATGAACAAGTGCGCCAGCCCTGCATCCCTGCATGGGAAAGCTCACACTCTTCACCTTGCATGCAGACTACTCTCCCAGCTCACAGCTCCCTCAGCTTGTCTGAAATACCCATATTACCTTGCGCACAATATACTGCACGTTGTTTATCATGAACAAGTGCGCCAGCCCTGCATCCCTGCATGGGAAAGCTCACACTCTTCACCTTGCATGCAGACTACTCTCCCAGCTCACAGCTCCCTCAGCTTGTCTGCAATACCCATATTACCTTGCGCGCTATGTACTGCACGTTGTTCATCATGAAAAAGTGCGCCAGCCCTGCATCCCGATACGTCAGCGCCTTTCCCAGAAGCTTCGCCTCCAGGACCTTCAGAATGCCCCGAATCTTCCGCCCCACCTCGCGATACTCTTCCTGCGGCTCCCCCCAGTACCGCTTCCCATCCTCCCCCACCACTCCGCCCTCCTCCCCCTCCTCCTCCCCCTGCACCTCCTCCTCCTCAAACTCCTCCTCCTCCTCCTCGTCCGACCTCAGCCGCAGCAGCTTCGGCACCGGCACCACCACAGCGTTCCCACTGCTACTATACAGCTTGTTAATAGTGTCACTGTATTCAAAGAGCAGGCCCAGGTAGTTGACAACGTAGCTGGTGAGTCCGTGCACGGAGCCGGCGGGAGGCGGCCGGCTGTCCTCCTGCTCTATGTTGCGCTCGAAGTCAGCGAGAATTCCTCTCACCGCCACGCCCACGTAGCTCAGCACCACTGACAGCTCGTTGCGCACACTGCGACACGCACCGTTGCCTGGCGGGGGTGGAAGGATGGGGGAGGGGGAAGGGGATTCGGACAGAGGGTAGTAGGGGAAGCGCATAAGATAGAATTTAGGATCTTAGGGGGCTTGAGTTAAGGGAGAAGTGATACGGACATGGGGGGAGTAGAGAGAGGAGGCGTTCAGCAGATGTCGAGCATGGCACAGCAGAGCAATTCCAGCTAGTTTGTGCTAACCCAAGGGCCTCACCGCACACAACCGCGTTGAAATCCGGCTGCAGCTCCTGCAGCGTCTCGTAGATGTCAAGCATGGCGAAGAGGCGCTCAGGCGCCTTGTGCCCCGCTGCAAAGGCCTCCACAAAGTCAAACAGCCGCCCCATGCTGCCCTTGGCTGTCTCGGCAAAGCACTGCTCGCTGTCCTGTTGTGGGGTGAGGTGTTGGTTGGGAGGGGGATGCAGGGGAGCAGAGTGGGGTCGGGTTGGGTTGGAAGCAAGAGCAGGCGAGGGTGAACGCGAGTGGGGGTAGATGGCAAACGCATCCAACCCACCTCCACCGTGTCGAAGACTCGTTCACAGAGCTTCCTCTCAGCGGCGAGCAGCACGCGCACGCCCCTCCGCGCATACGCCTTCCACAGGTCCACGCGCGCTGCCAGCTCATCCCACTCCAGTGTTGGTACCAGCCGCGGGTCGAACCTCCCTGCTGCCAACTGCTTCAGAGATTCCTCTAACACCGCCTGTGGGAGGGAGGGATGGAGAGAGGGTGCGGGGGAACGAGGGAGGGGGGGAGGGAGGGAGCGAGGGAGGGTGAGGAGGCGAGGAACTCATGGGTTGACAGAGGGTAAACAGATAGCTGCCTGCCGCGCATACGCCTTCCACAGGTCCACGCGTGTCGCCAGCTACCACTCCAGTGTTGGCACCAGCCGTGGGTCGAACCGCCCTGCCGCCGCTGCTTGAAGGACTCTTCTAGTACTGCCTGTGGTAGAGATAGGGGACGAGAGAGGCGTGCAAGGCATGAGCTGAGGCGGGGATAGATCACCTGGTTCTTTCCAGCATCTAGTGTAATGACCTGATGCAGTGGTAAGCCATGACTCATGAATATGCATTCATGCCCCCCTCTGCCCGTTTTGCCTACCTCAAGGTCGCTTCCCTACCTTGCGCACGGTGCGGTAGTTCCGCCTGAGAGAGGGGGAGAGCCCCGCGCGCGCAGCCACGCGCGCAATGGCGTGCAGGCGCCACACGGCGGGCTCGGGGAGGAAGGAGGGCGCGCGGTCCAGCGCGGAGACCGCGAGGGACGCGGACGAGGGGGAGGAGGAGGGGGAGGAGGCGACGGGGGTGGCGGCGGCGGAGGGGGAGAGGGGCGCGGAGGAGCGCGGGGGCTTGGATACGCGCTTGGCGGCCTCGTTGACCTGGGGGGGGGTGGAGGAAGGGCGCGCGGACGGCGGGGAAGGAGGGGAGAGCACTGAGATACGCGGTTGGAAAAATAGGAAAATAATATAACAGGTTTAAAATATAATGAACATGTACAGGCAATGGCTCTTGTATTTCAGTAACACGTCTGCTCCTGCGTACCCAGGCGTCACAACAAGGTAAAGACGTACCCGAGTTTAAAGACTCTCAGAAAATCACGGCAAGGTGAAGACGTACCCGATCGGGCGGCACGGGGTGGCTCTCGGCGAGCAGCACGTGGAGAAAGCCCTCCTCGAGGCGCGGTACGACGTTGTTCAGCATTGATTTAGCCGTCTCGCGCACGCCGCCCATCCCCGGCGGCGCGCCGGGCATGTTGGCGGCGTCGATCAGGTCGAATAAGCGCTCGACAGCCTCGAGATACGCGCGCACGTCGACTACCGACGCGTCCCATATGGCGGTCCCCGCGCCGCCGGCGGACGACGAGCGCGGGAGCGAGGAGGCGGAGGGGGAAGCGGAGTGCTGCGCGGGTTGCCCATGCCACCCGCCAAGGACGGCTATGGAGGAATCTAGGGTTTCGAGTGGGGATGTGTACACGTGCGCGTGCGCGTGCGCCGCTCGCGACGACTCGCGCATGGCAGGCAGATAACCTGGTGGGTTGCGAAATTAGCAGCCCAAGATAAGTACGAGTTTATTGAAGGTGCAATTGTGACTCCCGACCCGGGGTCTCAGGGAGGGAAGCTGGTTGAAAATAGGTATCGGATGTGAAGGACCTGCAGAGACCTGTCGAAAAGAAGGTGTGAGTGATCGTTGTAGAGACCTTGAAGCTTCACTATTGATGCGAAAACATTTACAGATTCGTCATATAGTTATCCTGCTCATAAGGGAATAATCTGGATTATGTACTTGTTGGGTGTTGTTACGGATGCAATGAATCTAGGTAGCGAGGACTGCACTAGAGTGTTCAACGAGTACAAAGCATGAGCGAATACTTATACGCGAAACATGCAAACGGTAACGCGGTGCGTGTGAGCTAGCTAGTGCTACGCTGGCGCGAGGTTCGGGCTAGTCCCGAAGCGTAGGCCAACTCGGCTGCTCCAGCAGTGCGAGGTTTGGTGAAACATTGCGCGCGAAGTTGGCGAAGCCCCGTTAGCAGTAACGTGACTCCTTCCTGCGATGAAGGAGTCGCGTTAGCAATGGATTAGGGCAAGGAGGGGGATACGGTACAATGAAGTGTCGAGCAACTTACTGTACCCCCTAAGCCCAAACCCACTACAGCCTAGATAGCGGTAAATATATAATTTGACACACCCCAATAGGCGAAGTGGGGGATAGCAAATACAGCAAGCGGTCATAAGACCAGTCAAGAGAAGAAACAAAGCAAAGCAAGCTCAGGGTGGATCTCAAGATCACCACGCACTCTGAGCACTAGCAAGCGGCCACAAGGCCAGTTCACATGCAGTTTTATAATAAAGCAAGCAGTACAATGATTACAACCTAGCAACCAGAAACATGCAGGTTTATATATCAAAGTACAAGACAAGGTCAAGAGACAAGCAGTGTTGGCCCGTGTGGCCACGTACAAAGGCGAAGCTGGGAACGCTGCTGCAACACTCGCACGGCAAAGGAACGAAGTGCAAAGTGCTACGTTCTGCTCGCTAGTCTGACCAGGTAGCGCAACACCCTCCTAGCAGCCCGCCAATGCGCAGGGTGGTGCCTCCCGGGCGCAACGTAGCGAGTCCGGATGCTGAGAGGGTACGACATGTACTCCAGCTCGAACTGCCTGTCCTCAAGGACGTCACAGCCAAGGGCAAGCTCACCCCCGATGGACGGAGGACACGAAGAGGCAGAAACGAGACCAGCAAGGTAGGCACGGCGGCAAGTAGCGGCAAAGCCTGCGAGCTCAGCTACTAAGGCACAAGCAACAGCATGCGAAGAAGCAGGTGTAGTCACAAGCGCAGCTAGACAACAAGGGATAGTCGGGCGAGCAGCACGAGCAAGGTTAGACACATGGTCAGGAACAGCAGGAAGAGAAGACGGGGGAGGTAACGGCAGGACAACAGGCTCCCGAGTAACACGAGAGGGAGCAGGGGAGGCGGCACAAGACACAGGCTCCCGACGCCCAGTCAGGGAGACGGACAACGGGACGTATCGAGCAGGAGCAGGCAGTGGGGAGTCAGGCGGCGGAAACAACAGAGGAGGAGAAGTACAAGTGGGCGTCGGCTCAGGTAGCGACGACGACGGTTGCTCCAAGAAGATAGGCCGCCACGGCAGCGACTGCAACGCACCCCCAGACCCAGCCCCTCCAGCGCCAGTACCTCCAACTCCACCAACAAGAGGACTCCTAGCACCCCTAGAGGCGGCACCCCCAGAATCAGCACCCCCAGCGTCACCACCCCCAACAACACCTGGGCCCCCGAAGTCCGCAGCGACAGGCTGCAGAGGAGGCGAAGACGTCCGAGGCGGAAAACCCGAAGGTGTCTCCAAGCGCGGCGAGCGGCGAAAGGTCGCTATGTTGGCAGCAGTAGGGTCAACTCCCTCGGTCGAGCCAGAGGAGGCAGACGGGACTACGAGACACAAGAGAACAGTGGAGGGGTGCGCATAGACTGTGCTAGTAGGCGCACAAGCAGCGACACACGAAGGCTCTAACTCCTGGTGCCCGCCCCCTCCACTCCCGTCAGCTCCACTATGACCAACCTCGTTAGCTACAGTGATGATTTGTGACAGCGCAGGGAAGGTAAGAGGCAACGCAAGACAGCCTAGGACTGCAGGAGGGGAGGGAGAGTAGCGCCTAACCACAGCGGAATACATAGCATGGGCCGACGGCACCTGGCGAAAGTTGGCTCTCTGGTCGAACGAGAGGTGAAGGCGGACTGCAAGTGTGACGGCAGCGTCTCGCGCCATCCATCGCTTGTAGGCAATATGAGCTGCGCGGAAATGCGTCCGCACCTCCTCCCCAGTGTCAGCAGTAGGCTCAGCACGAGCCTTGGGGGCCTAAAGAGAACCCGACGTGTGCTCGAACAGTGAGCCGTCGTCGCGAGTGACACTATGGAGGTACAGGTGCAGCCCTTCTAGCCAGGAGTCGAACCCTAGAGGGTGCCCCACAGATCAAAGGCTAGAATAGTGGGAGTCGCCATAGCAGCAGGAACGACACCAAGCAGCAGGAGCGGCAGTTACGGCAGCAGCGGCAGCACAGGTGGTAGCAGCAACCCAGGTGGTAGCAGCAGCTCAGACGGCAGCAGTAGCCTAGCAGCAGCAGCATCAGCGCAGGCAGGAGCAGCAACTTAGCAGCAGCACCAGCGCAGCACAGCAACACAGGTGGCAGCAGTAGCGCACGCGGCAGCAGCAGCTCAGGCGGCAGCAGAAGCCTAGCAACAGCAGCAGCGCAGCAGCAGAAGCACAGGTGGCAGCAGCTGCTGAGCAGCAGCAGCAGCGCAGCAGTAGCAGCACAGGTGGCAGCAGCAGCGTAGGCGGCAGCAGCAGCGCAGGCGGCAGCAGCAGCGCAGGCGGCAGCAGCAGCTCAGGCGGCAGCAGCAGCAGCGCAGACGAGAGCAGCAGCTTGGCAGCAGCTCCAGCACAGGTGGCAGTAGCAGCGCAGGCGGTAGCAGCAGCTCAGGCAGCAGCAGCAGCCTAGCAGCAGCAGCAGCAGCAGCTGAGCAGTAGCAGCAGTGCGGCAGCGCAGGCGGCAGCAGCAGTAGCAGCAGCGCAGCAGCAGCACCACAGGTGGCAGCAGTGCAGCAGTAGCAGCACAGGTGGCAGCAGCAGCGCAGGCGGCAGCAGCAGCGCAGACGGCAGCAGCAGCAGATCAGGCGGCAGAAGCAGCCTAGCAGCAGCAGCGCAGCAGTAGCAGCAAAGGTGGCAGCAGCAGCGCAGGCGGCAGCAGCAACTCAGGCGGCAGCAGCAGCCTAGCAGCAGCAGCAGCCTATCGGCAGCAGCAGCAGTCGGCAGCAGCAGCGCAGCAGCCCACGGCAGGGCAGGGCATGCTCGAGGCAAGCGGCAGCAGTAGCTTAGCAGCAGCTGCAGTGTAGGCAAGGCGCGCGCAGGCGGCTCAGACAGTGAGTGGGCAGTGCACTGGCTGTGCAAGCAGCGCGTGGGCACAGCAGCTGGCAGGGCGCTGGCAGCGGGTGCACGGGCAAGGCAGCGCGCACGCTGCAGGGCAGGGCGTCGCGCGGGCTGCAGGGCAGGGCAGCGCGCGGGATGCTGGGTAGGGGTGGGCTAGCGCTAGTGCGGGTCGTTGGCAGGGCGCAGGGCAGGCGCTCGCGGGCGGCGCAGGGCAGCGCGTAGGGCAGGGCAGGCTAGCGCGGGTGCGGGTCACTGGCAGAGCGCAGGGCAATCGCTCGCGGGTGGCGCAGGACAGCGCGTAGGGCAGGGCAGGACAGCCGCGTGCGGGCGGGGCAGGGCAGCGCGTAGGTAGCGTTTGCAGGGCAGGCGCACGCTGGAAGGACAGGGAAATCGACGCGCCTACGGGCGCGATACGGGCAGAATTTTGTCGTGCCTAAGGTCGCAATTCAGGCAGGAAAACCGTCGCTTCTAGGGGCGCGATTTGGGCAGGAATACCGACGTGCCTAGGGGCGCGATTCGGGCAGAAAATCGACGTGCCTAAGGTCGCGATTCAAGCAGGATAAAAAAGTGACGCGCCTAGGGGCGCGATTCGGGCAGGAAATCGAAGACTTAACGGTGGGCCCTTTTAAAAATCTGGTCCAAAGGACCTAATGGCTCTAAATACCATGTTGAGATAGGTAGGAAGGAATGAGGTGGATTAGGGATATAATGAAGTGTCGAGCAACTTATTGTACCCCCTAAGGTTAAACCCACTACAGCCTAGATAGAAGTAAGCATATAATTTGACAAGTATGTGCATCAAGATGAAATTGATCTCACTGATGGAGACTTGATGCACAACATAGGAAATAAAAAATGCATTTCAATACGTCCAACAAAGCTCTTAGGGTACATTCCGCTTAGGACATGTCCCTTAAGAAAGTGTCGCAATCACTTTTTGCCCGAGTCGCGCCCAAATGTCTCTGAACCTAATGTCACAAAGCCCAAATGTACTGCGAGTCTGCACGACCACGCGAAAATTACATGAGAAGGGCTGTGATTGGCCCCTTGCGTGAGTGCTCCACTCATTGTGCGCGTCAGCCACACCAACCCATCATGCCTCACAAAACACTCCAGGGAAAGCGGAGGACGCGGAACTTTGAAAGGTCCGCCCTCCCCCAATAATTGTAGCAACTCCATACTTTGGACACTCGTACTTTTAGCAAACCCATTGAGCACAACTTCTTCACGATAGGAGCTAACACACAATCAGCACTGACAACATGGCGGAGCCAAGGTCCATCCCCTTTCTCCTCCGACTTCTCGTCGCCTGGGTCACCTACTACTACACAATATTCTACGAAACTGTTGCAAAGTCCTTTGTCGGCATGATTGAGGCTGGAGTCATAGAAGACCACAACGAGTCGTCTTCATTTACTGGCTGTGACACCGGGGGGAACCGCCGTCACCTGTCAGAATCCCAACCACTAGACCATTGGGATAAAAGGGCTTGTTAAGTAGCGGGTCAGTGCGCCCATAACCCCCCAGGACAACGAGCCTGTAACCCTTCCCTAGGATCAATCGGGGATCACCAGTGGACCTCTGACACCCCCCCGCACTGGGATGCCCGAAGTGCACACACTGGGATTCGAACTCGAGACCTTCGCTCTGATAACATGTCAGAATCCCAACCACTAGACCATTGGGATAAAAGGGCTTGTTAAGTAGCGGGTCAGTGCGCCTGAACCCCCCAGGACAACGAGCCTGTAACCCTTCCCTAGGATCAATCGGGGATCACCAGTGGACCTCTGACATCACCGTGCTCGTTTACGACGGCATCGTTTTCGGCTGTGGGTGGACGACCTGCAACATATGTGGGAAACCGACTTTCAATACATTTTTCGAATCAACAGAGCCATCCTTAATCGCATAAAAACAGGAATGCGCCACTACCTGGAACCGGTTGTCGAGCGGACAAGCATCACGCTGGACACAGCCCTCCTCGTCGCGATAAAATATTTGGCTAGTGGCATCTCCTACGTCGACATGTCCTACCTGTTTGGGGTCTCCAAAACCCTCTGCCATGAGCTTGTCGATGTATTTCTCACGGAGTTCCCGGCGGTCTTCAAGGCCGACTGGGTACGCTTCCCGACCCGTGATGAGCTTGTGGTGATGGCACGAGAGTTTGAAGCCATAAAGGGGGTACCTGTGGTGGTGGGGGCTGTAGACGGGACTCACATTCACATGAAGGGGATGGAGGGGCACCGGGCAGAGTATTGGACAAGAAAATCTGCATATGCTGTGCAGCTGCAGATAACGTGTGATGCGCGCGGCATAATCTGGGACTATCTCATTGGGTATCCAGGCAGTGCTCACGACCAGCGTGTGTTCAAGAACAGTGCACTGCTGGAAATGTTACAACGAGGGGACATAGCCCCGTACCAAATTGTTGGGGATGCGGCATACCCCCTCAAAGATTACTGCCTAACCTTCTTGCATGCCCCGCGCGGAGAAGACCTAATGGACGACTGGGCCCGGTGTTTCAACTACTGCCAGAGCGCTATACGCATGGCTGTAGAGCGGTGCATCGGAGCCTTCAAAGGTCGCTGGTGTCTCTTCGCCGGCCGCAACGATTGCAAGTTATGGAGAGTGCTGCCTGGCGCCTCTTGTTGCGTCATCCTGCACAACATGTGCGAGAGCATGGCGTGTATTAGGCGCACAAACATGGCATGGTTCAACCTTCCGCGCAACCGAGATCCCTGATGGACTAGGGGTGTCATTTTAGAACACAAGTGGGAGCCATGCATACCCTGCACGCAGCCGACGTTGAGAGAACGGCGGAAATGGCTAGGGGAGGCGCTACAGGAGTCTTACGTCAATCGTCGGCGCCGCGCACCCATATCTCAACATCATCATCACCAGGAGTGACGGTGTTGACGTCGCCGCCATCGTCACGGCCCGGGCCCGCATCTTCACAGTCTGGCACTGGCGCGTGGCGATCGGGGGGTGGTGCAGATGCAGCGCGAGGCGGTGGAGGGCTGTCGTTGACCGTTCCACGCTGCACGTTAGGTGGAGCCGATTCCGACATGCGCTCGCGGGCAAGTCGCAGGTCCTGCTGCATCCATTCGCGCACAAGGCCCTCAATCCGATTCATGGCGTCCCCGTGACAGTCCTTGATGGTGGCTGACACTAGCATCGCGGCTTGCATGGTCGCCGTCTCATGGACACGCGCGCGTTTGGAAGTCGGAGTGCTCTGCGCGGGTGGTGCTGTAACAGGGGTAGGAAGCACGGTTGTTAAAATCAAGTGATCCAATCAATGTTGTTAACATGCCAGCTTGTAATGCACGCGCATGTCCAACTCAAGTGCTATGTCAAAAACTGAATTCGCTTGCTGAGATTATCACCTGTAAATGTCGGCGTTGATGTCCCGGACTGAGAGGAGGTCGGCACCTCTATGCCGGCAGACACGTTGACGTTTCTTGCGCCCCCGCCGTCGACCGCATGCGGGTCGGCTGCAGCGGTGTCCTTGTTGTAAAGCTCCATGTATGGCCACCACGGTGGTTTCTCTACCGAGGCATTTCCAGACCCTCCATCGCCCCGCTTGTATTCCTTCCAGAGGAGCATCAGGTTGCGCCACTGCTTCTGCAACGCGTTGATCCCCCGGATCCAATCCGGGTTCTCCTCCTTCCCCTTGGTGAACCACCTTGCGGCAACGAAGATGGTGCTTTCGCGGTCAGACCACATGCTCTTCATGCGCGGGGCAGTTGACCGCTTCTTGCGTGGTTCCGGTCGCGGTTCCTCCACAAGCGCTTTGCCCTTCCGCTTCACAGCGCCGGTTGTCTTGCTGGCGTTCCTTTTAGGCGGCGGTGTCACCGGCTGCATTTCTTCCTCCGCGACGTCGTCGACCTGGTTGTCAACTTCTTCATCCTCTAACATTCCTAGATCATCCTCCTCGTCGTCGTCATCGCCAGTGCCGACTGCATCGCCGCAGTACTCTGAGTCGGACTCCTCTTCCTCCAGCTCATATGCGGGCCGTTGGACGGCGGCGGACCTGGTAGGCTGTCTGCGCACGCGAGACGGACCCGCGCGGGGCGTTTGTGCACTAGAACCCTAAGGGTCTGGCGCAACTGGAGCGGATAATCCGGTGGGATGACGGCCGTTGGCGATTTGCTGATTCATCCATCGGATGTAAGGGATCTCGTTGAGGTCATTGGGGCAGTCGTCACGGTCCTGGCCCTTACGCTTCCGAGGCATGTCGCTGTAATGCGAATTTCCAGATCTAGCTAGGACACACTAGTTCAGACTGCAAGGACAGAGGTTTGAATGAGGAGAGAAATGGGACATCACGGTCAACGAAGGGCGGAAGAGTAGGGGTGAGCGGTGAATGTGTATTGGGCATCGGCGGGAGATGCATGCGGGGGATTGTCAATAAGTGCGAGAGAACCTAGATTCACCAATCCCGCTTCGTGGTACGCGTTCGGTGGGAGAAAACGAAGTGTCCCAATATGTCCAGGTACATGCAGATGGGATTGACATTTGGGATCACGTGCGATGGCAGGTCCTTGTCGCGCTTGCACCCAATTAGCCGGCGACAGTTCCGTGGGTTGCGTCATCCAATCGAAATTACGTTTGACGACTTTGTTCAGCGGTTCGAAATCTCGACACATGGCAGCATATGCTGTAAGTACGCGTCACAATCGATTGCGACACTTTCTTAAGGGACATGTCCTGAGCGGAATGTACCCTTACGGTATACTGCTTATGTGAGCACACAATCTGCATGGGAATGAGTCAATACTAAGTCTAAGGGCACGCTGGTAATGGCCAAGAACTCCACACCTGCACGAAGAAAAGCATCGGGATAGAGAGCATGAGAATGCTGTGATTGGGTCAATACTCCAGCAAAAAAACAAGCACACATATTCTTTCTCTTGCAACAAACTAACTTCACACCCCGCAGACAACTAGAGGCTCATCATTTTCCCCAAGGCACCTGCGCCAGGCGTGGAAGGTGGCATATTTCACGGGGTCCTCAGCAGCAGCCACTATGGTGCGCCGCAGCTCGTCCCGATGCATCGAATCGGCGTTTAGGAACGAATCCGGGGGGGCAAAGCTGTCTATGTCCGGCGCCCCATAGTACACCGGCACTGTTCCTGCAGGGAGAGGGGGGGAGAAAGGGGGGAAACGGGAGGGGAGACGTGTGTGTGCATGTGCACGAGTGTGTGCGCGTGCATGTGCACATATGCGTTCAGGAAGGAGTCTGGGGGGGCAAAACTGTCCATGTCCGGCGCCCCATAGTACACCGGCACTGTGCCTGCAGGGGGGGTTGGGGGAAGGGGGAATGGAGGGAGGGAGAGGGGGCTGTGGTGTGAGGGAGAGACAAGGTTCGTGCAAGCAGAAAGGGGTCGGAACGTAAGTGATGGCGTGATAAAAGAGAGAACGGCTAGAGCATGATGAGGGGGTCAAAAGAAAACAAATCCTTGCCTGTGTTGTCCATGCCTGCGTGTCTCCCGGCAGGTTCCCAATATCCTCATCTCACCTGCTTCCAGCGCGTGGAAGATTTTTTCAGTCACGAAGCCGCGCTCCTCACGCGACTCTATAACGAGGTTGAACAGATAGTGTGACTGTACGCAGTGTAAGTGGTCCCACCAGTCCTTGTGCCCCCCGCCCCGCATCCCCACCCCTGCGTCCTCCTCCTCCTCCCAACTCTCCTCACTCCTCCCCCACACGCCCCCACCTCCGGTGCGAATACCTCTCATAGGTCTCCTTGCAATCTCCGCTTCTTGTCGAGCCTCCTCTGCTGCCTCCTCACTATCACCACCATTGTCATCACCACCACCAACACCACCGCCGCCGCCGCCGCCACCTCCTCCTCCTCCTCCTCCTCCTCCTCCTCCTCCTCCTCCTCCTCCTCCTCCTCCTCCTCCTCCTCCTCCTCCTCCTCCTCTCTCCCCTCCTGCTCCCTTCCCCCTCTCTCGCTGCACTGCTGCTGTTGCTGCAGACACACCCTCGCGCGTGCCTGTGCTCCCGCCTTGGCCGGTCTTGTTGCGCCCGTGCCTGCCATCCATGACCACCCTCTGCCCATGCGGCCCGGTATATCTGCACACAGGGCGAGCACAGCATGCACAAGGCGAGCGAGATGGCCTTAGAGGCGACTTGACAAGGGGGAGGAGAGAATAGCATGTTTGCACACGGCACGACCAGGGAGTGCCAAGGCAGCACAAGTAGCGAGAAACAAACTGCTGCTGTGTTGAGCATGATACACAAAAGACAGGCCCATGATCATCATCACACTCGCAAGTGTGCTGTATAGAAGTGCAAGTGCACGCACTGGCACATGCTGTACGTGTCCAGCACGTCCGCCTCTTCCTCTTTCATGATGCTGCCTATGCTGTGCGCCGCATGTCACACACTACACAGCCCTTTTATTGGAACCCATACAGGCACATGCTGAGGGAATAAGCACGCACTGGCACATGCTGTACGTGTCAAGCACGTCTGCCTCGTCCTCCTTCATGTTGTTGCTGCGGCTGCCTATGCTGTGCGCCATGCGCCGCATGAGCGCTCCAATGCGCTCGCGCCAGCTGGACGGCCGAGATGCTGCGTGGATGAGCGGCGGTGACTGGGACACGCAGGGATGGGCGGAGGATGGGATGGGAGGATGGGAGGATGGGAGGATGGGAGGATGGGAGGATGGGAGGATGCAGTGAAGGGATGGAGAGTTAGGGATGTGTCATGAGCAGGCTTTGAATAAGAATGTACAATTCACAAAGATCATGATGCCATGCCATCCCATGCCATGCCCCCATGAGATGGCGCGATGCCACTCCCCATGCCACGCCCCCATGCGCACCTTGCGCTTAACCCCGGACACATGGCGGTTGCGGTCGGCATGCTCCAGCTGCCCCGCATATGTCACCTGCACGTCTGCGCCCGCGCCATACCCCACGCTTATGTCCGCCCTGACCCTGCTGCCCCTGTCACCACTGTTACCACCACTGCTGGCACTGCTGGCACTGGTGGCACTGGTGGCACTGGTGGCACTGGTGCCATTATCCCCACCACCATCATCACCAGTCCTTGTGTGCTCCTCCCCGCCCCCATGCCCCTCCATATCCATGTGAACCAGCAAGGGCCGCCCTCCCTCCCTGCTGCTCCGGTGGTTTGGGAAATCTCGGGGTAATTCGCCCTCGAAAAGCAGAGCGTGTGGGGAGGGGGAGAGGGTCGGGGAGCGGGAGAAGGAGCAGGAGAGGTGGCAGGGGCAGGTGTAGAGACCGTCCAGCCAATCAGGGATGGACGGGGAGGAAACCACCTGGAAAAGGGCGGGGATGGTTGGAGGTGAGAGTGGGGGGAGAGGAACGAGAAGATGCGGTAGGATGTGACGCGTTGTGGGGTGGAGAGAATTTGGAATATGGATGAGTGGATACTAGACCCATGTGAATGCACGGCACGGCGGGAAGATGGATGGAGAGGGCAAAGCACAGCATGCATCAACGTGGAGTGTTTGAAGCTTGGGATTCAACACGGGCACACATCCTGGCTGCAGGACTATTGGCGTGTCCTGAGCCCAAGGTTCCTCGGTCTTGATGGGTAACATGAGGTGCCTACCTGGATCGACACATGAGGCAGCTTCAGGGCAGAGCATGGCAGGGAGGAAGCATCCTGGAAGCTGCTGCTATTGGGCCACGTGTCGTTCTGGTACTGGGCGATGAGGTCTGAGGTGGAAGCAAAGCGGGGAGGACCGAGCCACCAGCACACATGCCACATGCAGTGTGCAGCACACATGCAAGGGAGTGGTACTTTGAGTCATGGTACCTTGGTGGCTGCGATAATGGTAACTTGGTGCCAGTACGAGATAATGGCTGCTCTGCATGACAGAATTCATTGCCTGCATGTACTTCACAAGCAGCAACGGAATTCCCCCAAAGCAGGACACTAGGCGCGGGTTTACGGACACCGAACCTGCGTGCTTGCTTCGGAAGGCGGCGCAGCCCACGGCCTTGTCCCACGCGGCCCACGCCTCGTCCATGTCCATCGCTCTGCCGAGCCACGACTCCTTGCGTCGGGCGACGGTGCCGAACCTCACCCGCAGCTCCGGGTCCGACAGCTCCGGCGGGCCACGTGGCAGGTCGAGACTGGAGCCGTCGATCGCATCTGCTTCGGAGTCGTAGTTATCGATGCGCGGATCGGGTTCTGGTGAAAGCTGCGCAAGCGAGGGAATAGGCGTGTCTTTATTAGTACGCCATCTGAGACGCGTCGCGGCGAACTCGCGCCCGAATCGCAGCAGCGACCCGAGGAGGCGCTCCGACCGCGCCGGATGCGCGGAGGAGAGGAGAAGGAGCACGCCAAGCAATGCAGCGGCTCTTGCGGCGGAAATCCCGGCAGCAGCGGGCGTCCATGCTTTCATGACTGTTAGTATGCAGAGTCGATGTCATGAGGACGTGACATCACGTGCCCACTAGCTGACGCGTGGCACGCATGAAAACACTAGAATGCTCTTTTACAGATTCCGCGGCAAAAGTGCAACAAGTGAGGCACGGATTGGGTACTAGCACTCGGACGGCACTGGCGGCAGCGGCAGCATCGTGGGGTGGGTGGTGACCCGGAAGTACAAATTGTGATTCAGGTGGATTTGAGTCCACTCGAGTCGAAACTTCTCATAGTTCTGATTGAAATCGCGACCTGCAGATCACTGATCGCACATTCCAGGCTACTAGGTAGTGACTCGCTTTCGCGTATCCTAGCCGCGATTCCGATCGCCTCGCCGTGATTGTGCGGCTGTATTTCGGTCGTCCACCCGTCGCAGCACGAGCCGCCATGCGCGTTTCGCCCATCGCCGTCGCCGTCGCGCGCTGATCACCGCCGCCATGCCGCCACGCGCGCAGTCCCCCCGCCCTGCCAGCGCCATCCCCCCATCCGCGCCCCCGCTCTTCTCCGCGCGCCCCTTCCTGCTCGGAGCGGCCCTCGCGCTGCTGCTCTCGCAGGCGGCCCGCCGCCCTCCACCCGCCCGCCGCGCCGCTCCTCCGCGCCGCTGGTGCGGGCGGCTCGGCGGGCGACGTTAATAGCTTGGGGAATTTGGGTGACCGCGAGGCCGCTGTGGAGTCGCAGGGCGATGGCGATCAGCCGCAGTCGCAGGAGATGGCAGTGCTGCGGAATGTGACAGAGCTGGCGCAATGGGCGGCGGAAATCGCGGACGCGCTGAGGGCAGTGTTCCCCGAAATGATGGAGTGAGCGGCCGCGACTGGGGAGGGTGGGGGAGGCGGCAGGGGTAAGGGGGCAGAGGGGGGATGGGCGGGGGAGTGCGTGCAAGGAGAGAGGCAGTGGCATGGCTGCGAGCACGTGGCAAGGCAGGCATCAACGGCCATCTCATTCCATTCGCTTGCCATACAATGACAGCCAACTCTCTCGCGCTGCCGTGCCATGCCATGCCATGCCATGCAGGTCACGGGACTCCTTCCTCCAGCACCTCGTGGAGCCCTACCAACCACCGCCTCCTCAAGGTCGCCCCATGCTGCTCCCTGCCATGCCATGCCTTGCCATGCTTTGCCATGCTTCGCCCATGCTTTGCCATGCCATGCCATCACAAGTACTGGTGAGTCCTCTCGTTCCTCTATTTGTCTCTCAGTACCACCCAATTCCTACTGCTCTACCCACACCTACCATCCTCGCTCTCATTCTCCCATTCCTCCCCCTTTCTCCACTTCCCCCAACCCCCGAACTCCCTCCCCTTCCACACGCAGATCCACCTGTCCCAGCTCCCACCTGCGCCATACCACAGCAGAGGGATCGTGACGCCCAAGTGCATGCAGCCATGGCGCGCAGCATAGAGTCCCTTGCCATCGCCCTCGCCTGCTCCCACACCGCCTCCCATGCACCCCATGCCTCCAATGCCTCTCAGTCCGCTCATCCATCCCCCGCCCCTGATCCCTCCCACGCTCCTTCCGCCACACCCACTGCTCTGCTGCCACTGCGCTGCTCCCAACGCCACTGCCCATTGACACCACACAAACCAGCAGCAGCAGCAGCACTGCTACACAAGGCCGCAAGCTTGACCCCGTTGACCGTGTTAACAGCACTGACCCCATTGACCGAGTTGACCGCATTGACCCATATGATGCTGCCGGCCGTGCCAGGCTGGCTCGGGTGCTCCTCGCCCTGCACCAGTCATCCTCCTCCACGTGGCTCCCCCCCTGGCTCTCCCACCTCCTGCCCACGTGGCTGCTTCCCATTGGCCGCAGCAGATTTCCCTCCAGGCACCGCTATTGGCTGGGCAAGTTGGCAGAAGAATGGGCGGCTCAGGAGGGAGTGGGAGGGGGAACGGGCGGAGGAGGAGGGGGAGGCGGAGCAACAGGGGCGATTGACCTTGGGGTGGATGGGAGGGTTGAAGTGGGGCTGGGACAGAGCAGTCAGAGAAGTCAGAATAGTCAAGGTAGTCAGGGCCATCAGGGCAGGCAAGCGGTGCATGGTAGGAAAGGGTCAGCAGCAAGCAAGGGGAGTGGGTGGTGGGGCCCTGTGTGGCACAGCAGGGCGAGTGCACGGAAGGTCTCCAAGGGCAAGGGAGGCAAGGGGGTCGGGGATGGGAGAGGCATGGAGGGCGAGGGGCGGCAGTGGAAGTACTTCCTCTCAGCCATGGCCTTCAACCGCGCTGCTGCTGCTGCTGCCCCTGCTGCCGCCTCTGCTGGCAGTGGTTCAGAGCGGTGCCAGGCTGCGGTGTTCGCCAACTTCCAGGTGTGCGCCCTCCCACCTGTGCCTTTCACCTCCCAAGGGAACTCCACCTTCTGAAGCTGTGCTGTTGGTGTCCTGGCACTGCTGCTGCTGGTGGTGTGTGGTAGAGAGAGCATTACATCCTAACAACTCTCACCGCTCAAGCCACTGGAGCCCCAATTTTCCCTGCCCGCGCCCACCCTTCCCACCCTCCCGTCTCTCCTCCCTCGTGCAGTGGATGGATGGAGTACATGCGCTATGCGGGCACGGAGCACATCATCTGGTACGACTGTGCCTTCTGCTCCATGTGGGCCAATATGTGTGCTCTCCCTCCCCTCTCCCCGCTTCTCCGCGTGCCCCACTTCCCCCTGCCACCAGTGGACCGAGTACATGCGGTATGCGGGCACGGAGCACGTGTTCTGGTACGACTGCGCTGCCAGCGACGCAGAGAGCCAGGCGGTCGCGCTCTCAGTGTACGCGCGGGCAGGGCTGCTGACGTACCACCGCCTGCACCAGATAACACCTCCCCCTGCTGGCGCTGACTACCACTTTGACCAGGACTCCTCGCTCTCGCACTTCCTGCAGGTGAGAAAGAGGGAGGAGAGCGGGGAAGGGAAGTGACTAAAAGGGGGGGTGGAGAGACTGGGGAAGGAACCAAGATCTTCGCCCTCACTCGCTGCATGTAAGATGTTCCTGCTCTTCCTGCTCTTCCTGCTCTTCCTGCTCTCCCTGCTCTTCCTGCTCTTCCTGCTCTTCCTGCTCTTCCTGCTCTTCCTGCTCTCCCTGCTCTTCCTGCTCTTCCTGCTCTTCCTGCTCTTCCTGCTCTTCCTGCTCTTCCTGCTCTTCCTGCTCTTCCTGCTCTTCCTGCTCTTCCTGCTCTTCCTGCTCTTCCTGATCTTCCTTCTCTTCCTGTTCTTCCTGCTCTTCCTGCTCTTCCTGCTCTTCCTGCTCTTCCTGCTCTTCCTGCTCTTCCTGCTCTTCCTGCTCTTCCTGCTCTTCCTGCTCTTCCTGCTCTTCCTGCTCTTCCTGCTCTTCCTGCTCTTCCTGCTCTTCCTGCTCTTCTTGGCCACTGAGCCAACTACGCTATCCTGTCCTCCCACTGACCGGTCCTGCCCCCCGCCTCTCCACTCCTACTCCCCACCCAGCACCACCGGCACGAGTCCAAGTGGGTGGCCTTTGCTGACGTGGACGAGTACATCTTCATGCCGCCCGACACCCGCCCGGGCTTTCTCACGCGCCTCCTGCTGCGCCACCCGTGCGCCGCCCAACACCCCGCTCCTGGTGCTGCTGGCAGGGCAGGGGGGGGAAGGAGAGAGGATGAAGAGGCACAAGAGGGGGAGCCGCAGGAGGCAACGCAGGTGAGAGGGCGCTGTTGCGCACTTATTGCGCTGCTTTGGTGCTGCACGCCCCACTGTCTGTCTGCTGCCTTGACACTCTTCTGACTCTTCTGCAGCTGAGCTGAGTTGAGATCTCTCAAAACCCGTTACCATCTGCTGCCTCCCCCTCCTCCTGCATTCCCCAAACGCATCCCCCATTCCCCCCTCTTCCTTCCTCGCCCCCCCAGGTCCTGCTATGCAACCAGTTCTTCATAGGCTACCCACGCCCTCGCCTCACATGTTCCTTCCCCACGCTCGTCCTTCCCCACGTTCCTTGTGTTTTCGCGCCCGCTCCTCCTCTCCCCCCTTCCCCCCGTCTCTCATCCTTCCTCGCCCCTCAGGTGCTGCTATACAACCAGTTCTTCATAGGCTACCCACGCCCTCCCCCCGCGCTCCTCACTATAGAGCAATTCATCCACCGCCCGCACCGCCGACCTGACCACCACGACCGCCTGCGAGGCAAGATGCTGCTGCAGCCCGCGGCTGCCCTCGGGTTCCTCTCGCACGCCCCCCACCGCGCTCTCATGCACTCGGGAGAGACCATAGTGGCTGATCCTGGGCTCATTCGGGTGAATCACTACTGGGGTGATAGGGGGCTATCGGCGAATGCAAGTTAGAGGGAGAGGGAGGAGGTGGAGGATGGGTCGGTGGATGATAGGAGCATGCAGGTTATAGCGGATGTGATTAAAAGGAGGTTGAGATGGGTGGTGCCGGTGCTGCCGGTGTTGTGTGAGAGGGAGGCTGTGGTTGGCGCTATGAAGGAAGCTCAGAGGTTGGCAGATGTGCTGCAGCAAGCTGTGCAGATGGAAAATGGATGATTATCATTTGGCATTCTCGGAAATATGAAGCCACATAGCAATTCAGATGTATTTCTCCAAACACTGCTTTCGCTTCCCAAGCGGTATACACTTTTGCTTTCGCTTCACAGTTCAGGCAGCAAGTGCAGCGCATTTATATTGTACGCAATTACAGGGTGTATATGCAGCAATAATGTTCTCAGGGATCCCTGCTCCATTATGACTCAGCAGTCGATAAACGCTTGCCATTGGTGTATATGTCCGTCAAGCCTTTTTGGCCATAGCTTTGCACAGACATTGATTTTCTGCCCTGAGCAAGCATCTGACTTGCAGGAACAGGTTTGGTGAAACTACATTCAAACCAGGTATGGTTTCCTTGCATACTCAACCCAAAAGGGGGTGGTACAATATATTGATTGCAGCTGTCATCAACTGGAACCACATGATCGTGAACAACTTGTTACGTGCCTTAGTGCCCGGGAATTTAACCATGAATAGAAGGGACAGTTGATGGCTGACACCCCACCCCATCCCCATTTTCAGTCGGATACACACACACAGAATCTCACAGCCAATGGGTGGTAGGAAATCTGCCCGAACAGCAAGTGCTGACCTTACGTCTTGTCATCCTTGTCGTTGTCAGTCTTACACGTCAGCCCATCCGTGGTGTGACTGACCGAAGGGACCTTTTGGGCAGCAATTCCCGAGTCGCACGGATGGACAAGCCTCGTAAGTTGGCGAAACGACAAGCCGAATGAATCTCCTGGTGGCAGCACGTTACCCGTCATCATGTGGGGCACTGGGAGAAGGCGTGAGCGAGAGGGAAGCGACGCTGCGAGAACGGCGGGCAAGCAAGGAGATGAGACGAGTGAAGGCGAGGAAAGGAGCACCAAGGAATGGGATCGCACGTACAGTGCGTTGAGTTGAGGGGCTGTTTGTTGGTGGAGTGAAAGAGCATAGAGCGACAGAAGCGAAGAAAGGCGTGCCCCTTGAGGGGGTTGGGCTCCTCTCAGACTTCAAGACGGATAGATCTCAATCTCAACTGAACGCCAGCACAGTACTGTGTGCTTCATCCGTCACTCGTGTTTCTGACCGAACACGTCGCTGACGTTTAGAAGAAAAGGGTTTGTGTCGAGCCTGGCTCAACGCGCATTATCCAGGAGTCCCGCGCGTTACCTGAATACGCTCGTGCCGTCATAACGCGCATTATCCAGGAGTCTAAACCCCGCCGCCAGCACAGCCACGATATTAGGGCTACGAATCCGGCCCCATCGCATGATCTAGCGCACACATGGCGCCGACGCTAGCGAAGCGATGGCAGCGCATGTTCTCGACGTCGCACGCCGGCCAGCGGTCGCCCGGCGACCAGCGCCACGACGACCAACCGTGCGCGCCGCCATGGGCCAACCACCCGCCGCCACTCGGCCGCCGCTCGAGCTTACCAGATCGCGGGTACACGTCGCCGCACCAAGCGCCGCAGCAGCACCACCAGGCGTCGCCTCACCACCAAGCGTCGCCTCACCACCAAGCGTCGCCCCACCACCAGAAGTCGCCGCACCACGCTATGCACAGCGCGTCGCCGCAACACATGCAGCAGCAGCGCGGTTTGAAGCACAGCACGTCCCGCACGTCGCTCGACAGCGCGGACGACGACCGGCCGCCCGGCGCGAACGGCGTGGGCGGCGCGGAAATGGTGACGGTGAAGCTGGCCAAGTCCGACTGGCTAGAGATAGTTAACGCGCTCGAGTCGGCTTCCAGCAGGTGAGGGCGACAAATACCCACGAAACTTAGTGCCCGCTCCCAGAGTCATGCGCGATTGATAATGCCTGCGGTGTGGCAGCAGTAAGCGCGAAGCTGGAAGCCCAAGTTCACCCATCCCCTGCGCGGTTTAGGGTCGTGAGGCAGATAACTAGACAGAGCCTCCCATTTGACTTTTGAGTCGACTCAAAAGTCACGTCTTAACTAGACAAAGCCCCTCCGTCCCTCCCCACCCCGTCACTTCGTTCCGTTCCGCCATACACGCCCCCATCCGCTCCCCCATCCGCCCCCATGCGCGCGCGTCCCTCCAGGTGCGAGAACTGCGGGGAGACTTCACCGTCCGCGCCCCCCGTCGTCTCGCTGCCCGCCACGCAGCGCCTCTTCGCGCAGCTTAAGGCGCGCAGCAACGGCCCGCCCGGCGGCGGCGCGAACGAAGACGTGCTCGGGCCGCTCTCGGCGCTGCGCTCGCAGTCGTCGCGCGAGGGTATCGGCATCGGCGGCGGCGTGGGCGGCGCGGCCGCCAGCTCGACCGGGTCGCCGTACGGTCTGACGTCCAGCGACAGCGCGTCCACGTCGTCCCGGCGGCGTTCGCTGAACCTTCCGCGCGCGCGCGAACTCGATACGGATCTGCCGTCCAGCGGCCCGCTCGGCCACATCCAGCCGCGCGACGTGTTCGGCGCCGCCGGGAATCACGGCGCGAGTTGCGGGCCCAACTGCCACGCGGACGCGCACGGCATGCACGGAGCGCACTCGGAGCTCGGACCCATGGCGTGCCCGCACCTCGCGGCGATGGGCAACAACGCGGGTGCCTTCGGGGGGTCGTCGTTCGGGGCGCGAAGCATCCAGCAAGCTTCCGCCATGGCGCCCACCGCCTACAGCTGCGTCGAATCGATGATCGGCGGCGGGGGCGGCGGCATGGGCGGCGGGTTCGGCGGAGGCGTAGGGATGGATAGATTCGGCGGAGTTTCCGCTTCCGCCATGGTGGCGGCGGCGGGAGTGAGCGCGGGCGGAAGCAGCGGGTTTTCAAACGCGGGGTTCTCGATAGGGGGATTCTCGAACGCGGGGTTTTCGAATGCGGGGATGTCGAGCGTGGGGCGCATGGGCGTGAGCCCGTCCGAGATCCTCAACCGCAAACTGCTCACCATCATCACCAAGGCTCACGACCTCTTCTCCAAAGACCAGGTGAGGGGCACGGCGCGCATGGCATGGGGAGAGGGAGGGCGCGCGGAGGGACGGGGAACACGCGAACGGGGAAGGGGCGTGGAGGAGGGGGAGAGAATAGGGCAAGCTACTGACCATCATCACCAAGGCGCACGACCTCTTCTCCAAAGACCAGGTGAGTAGGTGAGGGGCGCATGGCATGGGGAGAGGGAGGGCGCGCGGAGTGGGGAGCTGGGGAAACGTGGAAAGGGGGGAAGAGGGGGGGGAGAAGAGGGTGGGTGGGCAGGCGGGGAAGTGGGGAGAATACGTGGAGGGGGGTTGAATTCAAGACATGCTCTCACGGTCATGAGCTCTTCCCCTTGGACCGAGAGAGCGGCTCGCGGAGGGAGGGGGGTGGAGGGGTGGGGGGGACTTGGAGTGGTGAGTGGTATGGAATGCGGAATTAGGTTTGTCTTGTGAGTTGAACAAAAAAAATCAAACACGCCTAGAGCAAACAGGCATGGGAGTAATGCACCTCATGATCGAAGAACAGGTAAAGCACGTGAGGCATCGAAGGGGGGAGGGAGGGGAAGGGTGGGAACGGGGGAGGCGGAGGGGAGTCAGGCTCGGGATTTGGGGCTGGGTGAAAGGAAATGGAAGCGGAGGGAGGGGGGAAGGCGTTGGGGAAAGGGCAGGTTGTTGCGGGGGGCAGCCTGAGGACAGGGAAAGACGGATGATGTTGCCAGGCACGCAGGGGCAGAGTAGGAGGGACGACAGGCACGGCAGTTGCTGAACGGCAGCAAGCTGAGCGACCACCTGCCGTCGCAGCTCCCTCCCCTCCCCACTCTCCTTCCTCACACCCCCTTTCCCGCCCCCTCCCCTTCACGTCCCCCTTTCCCCTCCTCTCGTTGCAGTCCCCCAACGGCAGCAAGGTGGGCGACTACCTGCTGGCGCAGCTGCCTTCTCCTCCGCACTCACCTACCCCAACCCCCTATTCGACCCCCCCCCTTTCTCTCTCCGCACAGTCCCCGAACGGCAGCAAGGTGGGCGACTACCTGCTGGCGCAGCTGCTGGATCTGACCAAGTCCAAGTTCGGATTCGTTGCCAGCGCGCTCAAGAAACCCGAAGGCACCTACTACCTCAAGGTGAGGGGGTAGGGGGAGGAGGAGGGGGACAGGGAGTGAGGGGATGAAGGAATGGGGGGCGGGGAAGCGGCAGATTTGACCCCATGATCGGGAGGGGGAGGGCAAGTCCTGGTTGGGGCGGTGAGGGGGAAGCAGGCGCGTGTTACTCTTTAGTGAGCGGGTTTTCATGCGAGAGCAGGGGGCCGGCTGCTTTTTCTGCGGCGAGGAGGATAAGGCACACGACCGAAGGCATTATAGAGTACTAATCACCTACTGGAAGCCTGAGGGTGTGGGCTGTGGCACTGTAGCCTCCTTGAAGACGCAAGGCAGTCCCCACGCCCACGTGCTCTAAGAATAGGGATTCATTCTTGAGACGAGTCAAACGGTAGTTAGTTCCCATGGAAAGCTGCTCGGATCAGCGATTGGGCATGTTGTGGGGGTGCGGTGCGGTGCGGTGTGAGGGAAGGCAGTGGGTACACGAAACTGGTCGAGGGTTAGTGAGCGTGCGTGTGAGCGTTACTGTGAGGTTGGAGCAGCGCGGTTGCACAACTCGGCTTCTGAGGCGCATAGTAACCGCTCTGTTTTAGGGTTACTGAGTGTGGACGGGCGCAGCTTGTTGGCACATCTCCATGTGCGGACTTGCAGAATCTCATAGCGCTGCTGCCCTTCCCGTCGTGGCGGAGCCCGTGAACGAGCGTAGCAGCTATCATGATCTCGATATGGCGAGTGGGGAATGGGGAATGGGTGGGGAGGGTTCCAAAGGAAGGGAGCTGCCTTCCCTCGGCGCGGGATCTGCGGCTGTGATTAGACGAATTTTGGAGCGCCCAACAGATTATCTCTACCCCTCACCACCCCCCTCCATCCTTTCCCTCCTCCCCCCCCCCCTCCCCCTCCCCCTCCCCCTCCCCGCCTCCTCCACCCTTCCACCTCTTCCCTCCTTACCCCCCAGACGCACGGCATAACCAACTTCGCATGGACGCGCGAGCTGCGCCTCTGGTACGCGGAGAACGCCCCCTCCGGCCTGGTCTTCTCCAACATGGACACGCTGTTCGGCCGCGCCGTCACCTTGCCTCCCACCCTCCCCTCTGTCCCCTTTCATTCTAACCAGATCTCCCCGTCCCTCCTCGTCCCTCCCCGTTGGACTTCCCTCCCCCGTGCAACTCCAGACGCACGGCATCACCAACTTCGCGTGGACGCGCGAGCTGCGCCTCTGGTACGCGGAGAACGCCCCCTCCGGCCTGGTCTTCTCCAACATGGACACGCTGTTCGGCCGCGTCGTCACCACGGCCGACGTCGTCATCTCCAACGACGTTCCCAACGACCCAAGAGCGGTCGGCGTGCCGCCCGGCCACCAGCGCGTGTCCACCTTCCTGGGGGTGCCTCTCTTCGCTGGAGCCGAGCTGGTGGGCATGTTTGCCGTGGCGAATCGCAAGGAGGGGTACGAGGAGACGCTGCTCATGGAGATCCAGCCCATGACCAAAACCGTCGCGCAGATCGTCGGCGCGCTGCAGGAGAGACGGCGTGAGCGCGAGGAGCAGGAGCGGCTGAGAGCTATGCTGAAGGGCACGGGGGATGCGATTCTGGGCGTGGATGACATGGGCGGGATCAGCTCGTTGAACCGCGCTGCCAGGTTGCTGTTTGGGTTCACGGACACGGAGGGGCTGGGCGACAGCACTGGCAGGGCGTTTGGGCAGGCGGAGGTGCTGCCGGAGAATCTGCACGTCGCGGATCTCTTCATTAGTGTGGACGGCCGAGATGACTTCGCCGACCAGGGTGAGATGCCGCCCCAAGCACTGTTTCGTTTTTGCTCCATTTCTGACAATCTGACTACCTGTGTGTTCCTGGCTCCTCGCACCCTCTCCTCTCCCCTCTTCCCCTCCCAAGTCTACCCCATAGCCCTGCTCTCGGGCTGTCCAGTCATCAATCTGTACCTTGGGAACCGCTGGGTGTGGTTCAGTACCAACGCCCCTATCAACCGCATTCACCCTCTGTGTGCCACTGCAGGTCTGGAGGTGTTTGTGTGTGACGGCCTCAGGATGCCCGCCATTGGTCGGCGCATTCTGGGCGGCACACTGCTGCTGGAAATGATGCTGTCGCGCGGCAGCAACCCCGACGTGGCCTACGTCATCACTGCCCGAGAGCTTAAGAACAGTGGTCTGGGCGGCACGCCTACGATTGGCTCGGGCAGCAACAGCCTTGCGAGAACGGGCAGCAAGGGAGGGCCCACGTTCTTTGAGCCTGCAAATATGCCGGGAGGAGATGAGTTATCTCATGGGTGAGTGCGTGTTCCGTTCACAGGTTAGAGGCTTCATGATATATCATATGAACAGAATAGAGGTTTACTTTGCCAAAAGGGGTTCTCCTACGAGCTGCTCTCACTGGGTTGTGTAACTTATGAATGACTTATAGGGAAGCCCATGTTCCATATGTATGCATACCATCTGCGTGATTGCCTATTGTGAAGCTGACTATAGATGTACTGAAATGCTGGTATAATTGCAGATGTAGCCAAACATTGAGCTTAGAAAACTTCTAGCTGTAATGTTCAGCGCAAGTGCGCAAGGTGTAGCAGTGTAACAGTTTTCGACGCTCGTCAATTCCAATTTTTTAATGTTCAATGATTCAAACTATCTTTGAGCCCGAGGACTGGGCAAGCGTTCAATCCTCGAGTAGTTACGAAAGCGTCGCACTTTGGCTGAAAAATCTCTCCAGTTTATTCCAGCTGTTCCGCTTGACAGTAGTTTAGCAGTCGTGAAAAGTCGGCTTTTACTTGACAAATGCTTTTAGATCACAACACTCGAATGCGCCATCAACATTCGGGCCTCCATTCTTGAGTTGTCACCTTCTCAGCCAACCCAGCCCCTCAAACATTTCCGCCCCCTAACCTGACTCGAGCCGGCATAGTTGCTGTTTGGCGTGGTTCCTGGCTTCTATTCTCGCCATCGGCTGGAGAAGTCAGTATTTAGGCTAGGGTTTCGCGTCCCACCAACACTCTTACAGGCACAGGCCCCTGAACGTTGAAGCCTGACTGAATGGCAACGTTGGACATGCTCGAAAATCTTCGAACAGTTGCAATCAGCACATTAAGTCAGGCTTTGTTACGCTCGCCCTTCAGCAGGCTAGAGATGTCTGAAGTGCGTTAGAATTAACCACGCTTAGAGCGCAAGTGGGGTCAGAACAGATCGGTTCCACTGTCTAACTTGTTTCAGCGCACGTCCCACTTCTCCAGCAGGGCGCTTGCGTCTGTCTTCAATCTCAGCCTCGCTAGTCCCTGTCCCTTATCGTCACCTGTAGAAAAAAAAGTAGTAGAAATTGTTATTTTGCGACGTTCATTCTTTCGCAGACTACCCTCAGCAAAGCAATCGTCGATTTAAAAAAAAAAAAAAAAAAAAAAACCGGTAGAAAGAAAAAACAATATTTCAATGGATGACCCAAGCCAGCATTTCCCGCCTGGTTCGCTGCCCGAAGGCGAGCCAGCGCCAGCGCAGGCGGCGGCGGAGGGCATGGAAGACGCGGAGAACCTTCTCGACGACATGCTCGAAGCGGCCGAGGCCGCGCGGCACGAGACCGAGCTGACGCTGGCGCCGCAGGCGCCCGACGAGAATGAGCCGTTTGTGACTGTGGCGGGTGTGACTGCAGGCGATGTGCCGGAAGGGGTGGTGGAAGAAACTGTGACTTATCACGGTGTGACTGAAGGAGAGGTGCCTGAAGCGGAAGCAGGTGAAGGCGAGGGGTTTGATCTAAATATGGATGCTGGTGGGGGTGGGGGCGGTGCGGCGGCGGTTATTATAACCGAGGGCGCAGCATCTGAAGCCGAACCAGGGACCGGACCAGAAACCGATCCTGGTTCAGGTTTGGGTGTTGCCGAGCCTGAGAGTCTGCCGGTCGGGACTGAGGAGCAGCCTCGGGAGACTATTGGCGAATACCAAGAGGCGGGCGGAGAGGGCGGGGATGGCCATATCATGCAGCAGGCAATGGCAGGTGCTTATGTTGAGGGAGGCATGGCGGAGGGGGAGCAGCCGAGAGCTGACGTGGAAATGGCTGAAGCAGCGGAAGGAACTCATCCGGAGGGTGCTTATATTGAACCAGTGCAGTACGAAAGTGTACAGCAGCAGGGGCACGTGGGCGCAGAGCAGGCAGAGGCAGCAGAGCAAGCGCAGATGGCAGCTACCCCAGATGAGCCTGCTGTCGCGGGCCAGCAACCAGCTGTAGCTGAGCAGGAGGCAGGTGAGGCCTGGCAGGGCGAGGCTGTAGCACAGGCCGAACCGGCTGTAGCAGGGTACGAACATGGTGAAGGGCCCGCTGTAGCTGGGTATGAGCCGGCTTTCCCTGGCCAGGAGGCGGCTGTTGCTGAAGCTGGCGGAGCTGAGACGGCAGAGGGGCAGGTTGTAGCACCGGCTGAATTGAGCGAAATGGTTACCACTGCTGCTGTTGGCGAAGGAGAGGTGGTTACAGGAACGAACGAGGGTGGCATGGGTGCAGAGAGCTTCGGCGAGGGGGGAATGGGGCAAGGCGAAGGGGGAATGGCGCAAGGCGAAGGGGGAATGGCGCCAGGCGAAGGGGGAATGGCGCCAGGCGAAGGGGGAATGGCGACAGCAGCAGAAGCGCAAGGGACGGTGGCAGAGGGCGAGGGGGCGGCTGGGTATTCTCAAGGCATGGTGGCGGTGCCTGAAGGGCAGCATGGGGAGGAGGCAGCATTGCCTGGGGCGCACGGGGAAGGCGGAGAGGGAGGGGGCGGGGGAGGGGGCGAGTATGCGCATGCGCACATGCAAACGGGAGGGGAAGGGGGAGTAGGTGGCGCGCTAGTGCCTGTTGCAGGCGGGGAAGGGGGAGAAGAACCCGTGGGCGAGGGGGCAGCGGCAGCAGCAGCGGAGGCAGCAGCAGCAGAAGCAGAGGCGGAGGTGGCGGCGCACATAGAGGCGGCAGAGAGGGTGGTGGTGCAGTCGCAGCTGCCGCAGCCCCCGCCGTGTCCCGCTGTGGGCAATGTGGCCGTGCTGCCCATGCTGCTGGACCAGATCGAGGCACACATCCTCTTCTACGGCCGTATATTGTGAGTGCCGTGATTGTACAAAGTGTGACTGTATGGGGTACACGGTGCTGGTAGTGAGAGTGTTTGCTAGCTGTAAGCAGTGGGCAGCATGCGGTGCTGCCCATGCTGCTGGACCAGATCCTCTGATCGAGGCCACATCTTGTGGCCATCCACTTCTATGGCCGCATCTTGTGAGTGCCGCGCTGGGTGCTGAACTGGGTCCCTTGCTGTGCTGCCACTGGGTACTCAAACTCGTCTTGCCGTTTATATTCTCATCCATGGCCCGCATCTTGTGGCCCCATCCCCTCCCCCCATCCCCCTCGGCAGTCGCAAGGAGCCTCTGGAAGAGGAGCTGCGCGCGCTGTTGTTCGCCAAGGTGCCCTCGCACCTCGCCTCGCCCACTCTGCTCCCTCATCCGCTGCCCCCATCCCCCTCTGCAGTCGCAAGGAGCCGCTAGAGGAGGAGCTGCGAGCGCTGGTGTTCGCCACGGTGCCCTCGCACCTCGCCTCGCCCGACCACCACCGCTGGCTCGAGATCGCCGACGCCTGGCGCCGCCGCAGAGAGGCCGCCCCTGCCGCCCTCCTCCTGGACGGCGACGGGGCGGCAGCGGGCGGCGGCGGGTATGTGTCCCCAGATGGTGTGAGGGACCGGGGGCGGGGCAGGGGGAGGGGCAGGGGGCGCAGGGGCAGGCGGGGGAGCATGCATGCGTTTGGGTATGGCGGAGGCAGGGGGGAGGGAGGGTACGGGGGGTACGGGGGAAGCGGGGGCTTTGAGGGGTATGGGATGGGGGAGATGGGAGGGGGGATGGGTGGGGAGGGCGGAGTGATGGTGGCGAGTGGGTATGGTGAATACCCCATGCACATGGGCGCGGATGGCATGCCCATGCCCATGGACCCCCATGCCATGGCCATGGGCATGGGGGGCATGGGGGGCATGGGGCAGTTAGCGCTGGGGAACGGGGAGCCATGGGTGTTTGACGATGAGGGGTGGGACGCCCCTGGGATTGCCATCCGCGGGCGCGGCAGGGGCAGGGGGCGCGGCAGGGGGCGGGGGAGGGAGAGGGGGCGCGGGCGCAGCTGGCACCTGGTGGGGGTGGAAATCGTCCCCTCGTATGGGTCTGATGGGGAGGAGATGGGCGCAGAGGGGGAGGAGCGGGCGGGGGGCGCAGGGGGAGGGGGAGCATCGATGGGCACACGGCCAGTGGTGGCATGGGCGGAGGTGTGGCCGGGGAAGCTGGAGGAGCTGGTGGATCGGAAGGACCATGCTGGGGTGGCTGCCGCCCAGGTCATGACGGCTGCTGTGGTGGCCCGGGCGGCATCGGCAGCGGTGCGGGCGGCAGCAGAGGCGGTGACGGTGTTTAAGGAGCGGGCGGTGGCTGCTGCCTGGGCAGAGAAGCAGGGGGGTGCGGGGGCGAACGGGGCGCATGGGGGGCATGGGGGATATGGGGGGCACGGGGGGTATGGCGTGCATGGGGGGAATGGGGGATATGGGGGGTATGGAGCAGGTGCCACGTGGCAGGATGCCACTGGCGCAGGGTCTCCCTTTGCGGAGTCCCCCTGGGCGCCTGAGCCGCCCCTCCCCCTGACGTCCGTGGCTAGTGTGGCGCGGGGCAGGGGGAGGGGTAGGGGGAGGGGGAGGGGGAGGGGGAGGGGGCGGGGGAGGGGTAGCAGGGGCGGGGGGCGTGGCAGGAGCTATTACTACAGCGCGTATGATATGGAGGAGGAAGAGGAGGAGGTGGAGGAGGAAGATGAGGGGGACGAGTTTGTGGGGTATGGAGGGGTGGAGGAGGTGGGCGGGTATGGGGAGGTGGGGGGGAGTGTGTTGGGCAAGAGGGGGAGGGGGAGGGCGAGTGAGGGACTGGAGCTGGAACACACCATGAGGCGCGCTGTGGGGTTCCTGGAGGGTAGAGGAGGGGAGGAAGAGGAAGAGGAGGTAGTGGTGGTGGAGGATGAAGAGGAGGAGGGGGGGGAAGAGGAGGAGGAGGAGAGGAGGGTGTGGGGGTTGAAGCTGCCGCACAGGTTCCATGTGGGCATGCCTGTAGAGGTGAGCAGCAGTGGTTGGGAGATATGTCAAAGGCAAAGCACGCCATAGAGATTATGTAGTTGTGGTGGAGGTGAGTGGCAGTGATTGCGAACGATTCAGTAACGCGCTCAAACAATGCAGGCCGGTGCGACACGGTGCTGCCCTCACCATCATCCCACTCCTCACGTCTCTCGTTCTTGTCGCATCCATCTGCCTGCACACACATGCTTCACCTTCACTCCTGGTGTCCTTGCATCCTTGCCTCCGTGTCTCCTCACCTCCTCTGCGTGCCGCGTGGCCATGGGGCACAGGTGGCGTCGAGCGAGGAGGGGTTGAGGGGCAGCTGGTTCACAGGCACGGTGCTGCACCTCCATGCACGCCGGGCACTCCTCCGATACGACCACTTGCTGGACGACGCTGGTCAGATTCCACCACCTTAGTTGCTGAGGCCTCATTCATTCTTCTGTAACACTTACTCTGCCTTTTGCTCACCCGTTGCCCGTTGTCCTTTCCCCCCCATCCCTCCCTCGTCTCAAGTATCTTCTAATCCCCCACATCTTCATCTACCTCATATTTCTGTCACTCACCCATCGTTTCTTCCCCTCTCTTCCCTCACTGCCCACCCTCGCTCATCCCCTCCCCAAACCCCACCCATTCCCCCCAACGTGCCAATCGTCAGGCACCTATCATCTGGAGGAGTGGGTTTCCACCGCCCCACCTCCCCCCGCCCCCTCCTCCTCCGCCTCCCCCCATCCTCCCCACCTCGTCTCCGGCGTTCCCCCTCCCCCTCCCCCGCACCTCCCCCCGGGGGGAGAGCCCCAGCGCTGCCTGCGCCCTGCCAGGCCCCCCTATGCGGGGGCGGGGGCGGTGGGGCGCAGGGGGAGGGGCAGGGGGGGCGGGGGGAAGAGGCGCAGGGGAGGGGGAGGGGTGGGATGGAGCGTTGGGGACCATGTGGATGCATGGGTGGATGATGGGTGAGTGGGGGGTGCGTGGGGGGTGCATGGGGGGCGAGTGAGGGGGTGTGTGAGGGGGTGTGTGGAGGATGAGTGGAGGGTGAGTGGGGGTTGAGTGGGGGGTGACTGGGGGGTAACTGGGGGGTGAGTGGGGGGCGAGTGGGGGGTGAGTGAGGGGTTGATTTGGAGCTGCACACTTGAGTGCATGATTGGATGAGTGATTCTGGCCTGGAATGTGTTACCCCTGCTGCACTTCCCGTCCCTCTCACTTGCACATGCCGTTCCTCCCTCCCCCCCTGTCATTACCTCTCACACTAACAAATTTGTAACATGTACCTACCTGCATGCTCTCTTCTTTCAACACCATGCTCTGCTGTCCCTCGCACCCTCTCTGTATTCCTCACCTCCCTCCTCTTCCCTCTACCCTCCACCTTCCCACTTCCCAACTCAACCCCTGTCCATCCACTTATCCAATGCTGCATCCCGTGTCCCACTCCCCCCCACTCCCTCCCTGCGTGGCAGGTGGTGGGAGGGGGTCATCACAGCGTTGCCCGACGATGCAGTAGCCAGCATGGCAACCGTCGAGTTCCCAGGTCAGTGACGACCCTCCCCACCCACGCGCCTCTCTCTCGTTGCCTCTCTTTATCTCTCTCCCGCCTGCTCACAGGGCCAAGTTGTGTGTTGGTGAAAGAGAATGTTTCACACTGCTCACAGTTGCGATCTTCTGTGCTTGTCCGTGCTCCAAGCTCTCGCATGTGAGGAGATGTGTACACATCAGTCAACACAATGGTCTTTATGGCCCCTCTGCTGCTCGCTGCAATTCCCCCTCGCTCCTCCTGCTCTCTCTTCCTCCTTTACTCAATCCGCTCATTCCCCTCATTCCCCTCCATTCCCCCGTTCTCCCCATCCCCCATATTCCCCCATTCCACCCCCCCAGGGTACGGGGAGATGGCGCAGAAGCAGCTGACGTGGCAGCAGCTGCGGCCGTCGATGGTGTTTGATGGGCGGGAGAGGGAGTGGGTGATGGTGCGCGCTCAGGCAGTGGGGGAGGGGGAGGGGGTGGAGGAGGAGGAAGGGGAGGAGGAAGATGATGAGGTGGAGGAGGTGGTGCCTGCTCCCATGGCACATGTCAGGGTGAGAGTGGGTGATGTGTGATGGGCGATGGTTGGTGGTGGCGACGGGTGTGCGCGATGTGCCATGGGTCATGGGTAGTGGGTGGTAGTGGGTGATGGGCGATGAGTAACTAGCTGCTGGCGCTGTCCCTGTTGATACACACTGCTGCACCCTAGTTGCTCATCCGCTCCTCGTTTCCCCCACTCACCCTCTGTTTGCCTCTTGCATCGCTGCGCATGCACCTCTCTGCAGCATGCTCACTGTCCATCTGAAGCTTGTTACCACCACCGGATCGCCAATAACACACAGAATATATCATCTCATAAAAATCCTCATCATATTTCTACTTCCCCCCCACCCCTCCCCACTCCGACCCCCCAACCCTGCGTTTCTCCCCACCTTTCCTCCCCTGTTCCCCCCACTCTTTTCCTCCCCTTATCTCTCCCCCCCATATTCTCCTCTTCCCTCCCCACGTTTCTCCCCCCTCCCCCTGCCTGCAGGACCCGTCACTGCCGCGGCCGAGGGGGCGGCCCCCCTTGCATGGCAGGGGAAGGGGTCGGGCCAGGGGCAGGGGCAGAGGCAGGGGCAGGGGCCGAGGGAGAGCGCGAGGCAGGGGGAGAGTTCCCTGGTACTGAAGGTACGTCGCCTTGTGTTGGATAGAAATTTATATTCTGCACAGAATTCTAATTATAACATGCAGTTTTGCATTTCTTCACACTGTACAAATCCAATTTCCGCCTTATCTCTTCTACCCTGTCATTCCTCTTTCATATGACACCCAGTATCCAAGGCCATGAGAGCCATGGCAGACTATAACACCAAGTGAGGTAGCTGGTTTTGAACTGCAAGTAAGCTTAGTGACCACATGGGTTTAACTAATTGCTTCCTAATTTACGTAGTCTCTAAGGTATATTCAACTTGTATATTTTGTTTTTTTGTTGCTATTTGTGGTTGGTAGTGTTTCATTGTGCGTGCTTTTGTGCTACTCCTCTAATGTATGGCTGTTACCGGTAGTCTTCAAAAAATATCTAGTAATGAAGCAACGAGCCAGTCTACGATGTGTATCCCTCTGCACTGGCCTTGGGCATGACGAACAGCAGTTGGATTCGCTCTGTAAGACCTGCACCCAGCGCCTGTGCCAGAAGCCCTCAGGGCGGGAAACATTTCGTACTTGAGTTTGAAAATGAGCGCGGTCAGCTCTCTGCGACGCTTTTCAAATTGAAACCCTGGGGTCCTAGACCGCACCGCTTTTCGCAATCCTTCAGGCGACGGCCAGCTGCGACGATCGAGCGGGCCACCCCGAGACGCGGATCATTGTGCCCGCGCCAACCGCTTTCTCCACCGTTCACCCACTCCTTCATCTCTTTCTTTGATCTTGAGTCGTCCGATCTACCCTGTGCTGCTCGCCACTGAAGGCTCAATCTCGCCGTGCGATTTGAACATCCAGCAATTTGCTTTCTTGAGTCGCGGCCGAATGCTTGCGCCAAAACAACATACCGTTCTGTCACCTATTTGACCAGATAGAGCCGATGGTACGTACGAGTAACGAGAGCCGATTCGAGCCCTTCTGTCTACGAAGCACATCGTATGAAAACCAGGAGGTTGACTCAATCCTGCTGGTTCATCCCATTCACTCACAGCACCATTCGATGCATCCTCTAGCACAGCGCTTCCTCATTCTAGGCTAGCTCTTAGCTTCTAGAACCCCTGCAATCTTCAAGTCAGAGTGGAACCGTTCTGAAACTCTTTGACGTTCCTTCTCGCCAACCGCCATGCGACGGAGATTGAGCAGCATGGCTTGGAGGTCCACGATCCCAGCGTTCTTCGGCCTGGCCCTCGCGCTTACCGCGTCGGCCCTTGTGATCGATCCCACGGACCCGTCGTCCCTAGGTATTGACGTTAACCACCTACACTCTCCAGTGACTTCTATTCCCCCCGACCCTCGAGCACGGATGACTGAACAATTTCCATCTACATCCCCCAAGTTTCGCTCGGATATTCTCTTCTCCTCTCCCTCTCTCTCATCCGGCCCGCCTTTCTCCGCGTAACACGCGCTTCCAATCTCAATTAGCTCCCTATGTCCTCTTGCGTGGTTGGCGCGCGGAATGGCAGGGCAACTGGAGGCGATGCAGCAGCTGAAGCTCGGCTTTGAGGGGAGCAAGCCCTCTGCGCTCGCCACGTGGACCACCAGCGACCCCTGCGACGGCACGTGGGTCGGCGTCACGTGCGCGCGGCCCGGCGTCGTCACAAGACTGTAAGTACGAAGAACGAACAGAGAGGATGCTGCATGCGTCGTTTGCGTTTGCAGGTTTCTCCAGCATGCTTCGCGTACATCAGTCGCCTCATCACCACGCACTCCTACTTCTCCCCTCTCAATTCCCATCCTGCTCATCTCAATGCAAAGCACAGCGATTTGTGTGACATGGGCATCGCAGGCGCGCTGTCGCCATTCATCGGCAACCTCACGGGGCTGCTGCAGCTGCGGCTGTGCGACAACCAGATCGCCGGACAGATCCCTCCCGAGCTCGGCAAGCTGTACTCGGTACAAGAAGTCGAGCTACAGAACAATAAATTCACGGGCGAGCTGCCTACTGAGCTAGGCGGCATGGCGACGTGCACGCACCTTTACCTCTACGGGAATAATCTCTCCGGCGCCATTCCCGCCGCCCTTAAAGCCGTCACTTACCTCAAGCTGGGTCCCGGGAATCGTTTCTGCAGCACGATTCCCGGCTCGCTGTGCGCTGGCGCGTCGGCGGAGCCGCTCCCCGCAACTCCCGCTCCGGTGGAAGGCCCCGCGGATGAGGTGGGAAGCCTTCCTCCGCTGATCAGCGCGCCGCTCCCCAACTGCCCGGCGTGTGCGGGCGACTTTTTGCCGGGGCTCGACGACGGGTGCACGTGCGCCAAGCCGTCGCTGCTCAAGATTCGTTTCAAGGACCTGGGTTTTGCGGCTTATAACGCGAATCAGGAGGACGTGCTGCTCGGCGAGCTGTCCCGCGCGCTGCAGCTGGAGCCACGTCAGCTGATGGTGATTGGGCGCGAGCCGGGCAGCGTGATCCTGTACCTGGCGGTGCTGCCGGTGAATGGTTCGGCGCTGGATGCGCGGCAGGAGGCGAAGCTGGTGGACGCCGTTACGGGCCACCGCGTCATTCTATCCAAGGCCTTCAGAGACTACGAAGTCCTCGGTACGGTCATGATGTTCTCGTTTTCCAAGGCTCCCCGTTTTCATGATGTTATGACTCAATGGGAGCTCTAACGTTGGTTGCTTTCACATTCCATGCCTTGTTTACGCGTCGTGCATCTTAGCGCCGCTTCCTTTCCGTTCTAAGCACCCGTCGAGTTCCTCGTTCCACCTTCTCCGTCTATTCAGGAGCGCCCGGTCTCGCGTTCAAGCCGTCGCAAGAGTTGCAGAACGCCGACGCCGATTCGTCCTCCGCGTCTTCCGGCGCAACTTCCGGCCTCAGCACTGGAGCCATCATCGGTATCGTCGTCGCTTCGCTCGCGGCCGCGCTGGTTATCGCGGCGCTCTTCTGTCAGCTGCTGACGTGGCGCCGCGACAGGAACGCCGCGCGCCGCGCTGACGTGGAGAATTCGCGGATGGCCAAGGTGCTGACGGGCAGCATCGAGGCGCCCTACAGGCCGCACGGAAAGAACTGTGAGTGAAATGATTCGTGTGGCGTTTCGTGAGTAATCCAACCAGTAGGTCACGCCATCTGTTTTGCTGTTGTCGCCACGTCATCTTTCCCGCTCCCTGCGTCGACCTCTCGCTCTCTTTCTCATTGCAGCTTCTCCCCTCCATCTCTACCCCCCGCCCCCGCCATCCTCCTTTCCGCTTCCGCCAGCTATCTGGGGAAGGTGGGATTTGCCCCGTGGCAGCCCCTTTCCGCCCGTCAAGCCGTCGATCTCAGGAGGCAACTCGTTCAACGAGCCCGCGCTCTCCTTCCGCAGCGGCATCCCCGGCACCCCCGCCGGCGCGCACGCGAATGGCTGCGGCGACAGCGGTGCAGGCACGCCGCGCGACACGCCCGGCGTGTCGGAGCGGAGCTTCGCGTTCCAAGGCGCGAGCTCGCCCACCTCCCCCGCGAACACCGCCGGGTTGTGCGGCGGCGACAACGGCGACGACCCGCGGACGCCGGAAATCGGGACGACGCGAACGGTGGGCGACGCGGAGGGCGGGGGCAGCCCCCAAGAGGTAATAGAGATTAAGAAGATCGGTCTCAAGGCGATCCACGCGGCGACGCAAGGGTACTCGAAGGCGAACTTAATCGGTGACCGCGGGCACGGGCGCATGTACAAGGCGGACTTCTCGAGCAAGGCGCGCGTGCAGATGGCGGTGCTGCTCGAGCTGTCCGGGGAGAAGCTCGACGAGCCGGAATTCGCGGCGGCGGTCAAGGCGCTGGGGGACCTGTGCGTGCAGTCGAACCGCCTCGTGGCGATCATGGCGTTCTGCGCGGATAAGGGCCAGCGGTGGGTGGCGTATGAGTATCTGCCAGGTGGCAGCCTCAAGGACCACCTGCACGGGGACCTGCGCTTCGAGCGCGCGCTGACGTGGCAGAAGCGCGTGCAGATCGCGGTCGACGTGGCCGCGGCGCTGGAGTTCCTGCATGAACAGTGCGAGCCGCTGGTGATTCACCGCGACGTGTCGGCCGATAACGTGGTGCTGGACGGCGAGCTGCGCGCGAAGATTAAAGACGTGGGCATCCACACGCTCGTGCGCGATTGGTCCGAGGGCCGCGCCGTGTCGCCGTCCGTGCTGGGGTCCATGGGGTACCAGGCGCCCGAGTTCCGCGTGAGCGGTGAGCAGACGGCGCGGTCCGACGTGTTCAGCTTCGGCGTGGTGCTGCTGGAGCTGCTGACCGGCCGGAAGCCCGTTGACTCGTCGCGACCCAAGGGGCAGCAGTCGCTGCTGACGTGGGTGCTGCCGCACCTGGAGAACAGGCTCGCCGTGACGAGCCTGGTGGACCCGTACCTGCGGCTCAACTCCACGCTCGACCCCAAGTCGCTGCACCTGTTCGCGCTGGTGGCGGCGCACTGCCTGCAGCACGAGCCCGAGGACCGGCCGCGCATGGCGGAGGTGCACAGCCAGCTGCAGCACCTGCTGCTCTCCCTCTCCCCCGACGGCCTCCCCTCCCCCATCTCCCCCAACGCTGCCTCCGCTTCCCCCCTCTCCCCCGCCTCCCCCGCCTCCCCCATGTCCCCCATCCCCAACCTCACCGCCGCGTCCCCCTGCACGCACGCTCCGGTGAGTGTGGTCCTTTGAACTTGCAGTGCTGCACTCGCCCTGTGCTTGCTTGTGCTTGCTCATGCCTGCCTCTCTGCACTCTGCACGCATGCGCCACATTCCACCTGCTGCTCCCCTCCGTCTCACTCCCACGCCCTCTTACACCCCTCCTCATCCCTCTCCACCCCTTTCTCACCCTCTCCAGAGCCCCGACGCGGAGAACGAGAGCTGCTCGGTGGCGGATTCAGGCACCACGAGTGGCACACACGTGTCGCACTCAGCACGGCGCTACGACCAGAAGCGCTGGGTGCAGATCGCACCGGGCCCGGGCACTGCCGTCAAGACCCACGCTAGTGCCGTGACTCCCGCTGCCACTGGTGGTGCTGCTGGTGTGGCGAATGTGCGCTCACCCCTTGCGCCGGTGATCAACCTGTGAGGAAGCGTGGGGGTTGCGACTATCCACGTGTGACTGACTACTGCACGGGATGGCATGTGATGCCGGTCGTTGCAGCACTATACCCTCTGACACCCTCGTTTAGCTCTCTAGCCAACTCCTAGGATCATTCTCCCCGTGATCCCCTCCCCCCCTGCTCCATGCCTCTAGTAAATCGGCTGTGCTAGAAGGTTAGATGATTGTAAGTGTCAAGGGCCAACCCAGCCCTGCAGTTACGGTAGGAGTAGAAGTACTGTGAAACATGATCCATGATACATGCTAACAGTTGCGCGTACTGCACCCTCTTTTGGAAGTCGTTTCTGGTTCTCCTGAACAGTGCACAGTGCGACCAGGTGTAGTTGCAACTCACTGTACAATGATGACAACAACAGAAGCGACAAAACAAACGTTGGTAGGCAGTGTCATGTTTGCGCATGGGTAATCAGAGGCGTCAACTCTACATCCCCTGTGCCATCTGAACCGTCGACATAACCATCCACGTGTGCAGCTTCAGCTGCATTGCTCTCTGCCATAGGCGATGTGGGCAGCCTAACCCCATGCTCTCCTTTAATCCCCCCAAACTCTTCTTTACGCTCACGGCATAGCAGCACCATTAGCACATACCCAATTGTGACTATAGTTGACCAGATTATAAAGCGGATGAAGGCGGAGGTGTCGAGAGAGGCAAGGAGCACCGTGTTGACGAGGATGGAGGCGGAAGGGAGCCACGGGCACAGCGGCACTGAGAACACCCGCGTGGCCTCCGCTTCCTTGCAGCACTGGGGGGGGATGGCCGGGCGGGGGGAAATGTAGGGGGGATGTGGGGAAAGGGAGGGGAGAATTATGGGGGAATGGCGAGAGATGGGGGAGGCGGAGAGGGAGCGGAAAGGGAGGAAGGAGGACGAGGTGAACGGGCAAGGGAGAGGGGATGAGACAAAAGGGCTCTGAAGAGAGAGTTACAAAGCCACCATGTGCCTGCAGCACCTAGAAAGAGTGAAAGAGAGGGGAGAGAGCGGGAGGGAAGGGCAAGGTAGAAAGAGGGAGGAGGCGAAGGGCAAGGGCTGTGGGATGATTGGAACATAGTGTTTGCTCCTCTCTGGGTGCACAGCACGTGTTGCTGACCGTGCTGTGGTTGAGAAGTAGCTGCGCCACGGGTGGTGCAGAACAGCAGAGGGACTGAGATCAGAGGAAGAGCAAGGACGTACGGCAAGGGAGGCAGTGGCAGCAGCCCAGAGGGCGGCGGAGAGCAGCGTGGGTGCAGTGTGGCCGGGGAGCACTCTAAATGCCACTGCCACGCCTGCTGCCCCCGCCATCATCACACCCAGATGCATCAGCACCACCCCCATGCCCTCCCCACCGCCCTGCTTCTGCCTTTGCCACCCCTTCGGCTTTCCTTCAGTGGGTTGCCCATTCTCGTTCTGCTGCCGTGCAGCTTGCAGGTGGTGTTTCCGCGGGGAGAGCACAGCAGGCGAGTTGGTCTCATGGGTCCTTGAGTAAAATTCCTTTGTCATCAAAGGCACTCCATCATCTCCTGCTGCCGCTGCTGCTGCTGTCGGTTCTGCTGTGCCTATCCCCACTCTTGCTCGTTCTGAAGCTGCTGTGTGTGCAGCAGCGCTGTCAGCAGCAGAGGCAGCGGCAGGAATGGGAGCGAGGGGTGGGGGCAGGGTGACGCGGGGGTGGTAGCGGTGCAGGAGGAGGGCGAGGGCGACCATGAGGAAGATGAGCAGCGTGCCGATGGACACCATGGTCGCTAGCGTCTCTAAATCCACCAGTAGCGCGATCACACCTGTCGCCACACCTGCAAGGAGGGACGGCACGGGGGGAGTGGAAAAAAGGGTGAGGAAGGAGTTGAGGTGGCTGGTGCATTGACCAATGCAGGCAAACAGGTGTTCAGCATTATTTGGTGATGGGATGAGCTGTGAAGATGGTGTGATTGGCAGCGATTCCACTGCACTGTCGGCAAGACAACGAAGCAGAGAGCGCTAGCACACATTTCCCACCTCAGTTACTGACAAGTCCATGGCAACGCACCAAGAACAGCCGTGGCAAAGAGAGGCGTGCGCGTCACAGGTGACACCGACGCAAACTGCTTCGGCAGAAGCTCGGCCCGAGCCACCACCAGCACGATCCGAGCCTGACCCATCAGCCCCACCAGCACCGCAGTCACTATGGCTAGCAGCGCTCCTGCTGCCACCACCCCCGCCGCCCAACCCCACCCCGCCAGGTGGCGCAATGCAGAGGAGAAAGGAGAGTCGGCGTCGATCTGAGTGTAGGGCACGAGGAGGCAGAGGGAGAGCGCCATGAAGCCGTATATCAGAGCCACCACAGCCACCGATCCCACAATCCCTATTGGAAGATCAACGGCCGGATTCGCGACTTCTTCTGCGAGTGTGGTAACCGCATCGAAGCCGATAAAACAGAAGTAGACAAGCGCTGCTGCATCCAGCATGCCTTGCATGCCGAACGGAGCAAAGGAGGCAGTGATGTTTTCCAGGCTGCCTGCTGTGAAGCCAGCAACGATGATGATGACAATGGCGAGCATGCTGAGACCGGAAGCAAGGAAGTTGAAGTAGGACGATTCCTGGGTGCCGTATGCTACCAGCACGGACAGAGACAGAATGAGCCCCAGCGCAACGAAATCCAGGGTGATTCTCCATGCTGGCACGGGCACCCGGAAGAATTCCGGGTCCTGCCCGAGGAACCCTGCGAAGTAGGCGGAGAGGCCGCGGGCAGCAGCGGCGTTGGAGAGAATATACTCCATGAGGAGATTCGCTACAGTGATAAAGGCTGGGAGCTCGCCTAGCGTGACCATGAGGTAGGAGAAGGCGCCGCCCGCTACGGGCAGGTGGACGGCAAACTCGGTGTAGCAGAGGGCGGAGAGGAGTGCTGACGTGGCAGAGAGGAGGTAGGAGAGGATGACAGAGGGGCCGGCATGGTCTCGAGCCGCCACCCCTGTGATGACAAACACGCCTGTGATTGTAGTAGCGCAGGGGGGCGAGATGGGGGGAGGGGGGAGCAGGTGACAATAGCGAGAGGAATGGGAGAGGAAAAATGGGGGACAGTTGAGGAAGTTGGGTGGGACGGAAGGGAGCGGCACATAAGAACGTGTGAGGTGGAGAAACTGAGTCCAGGTGCTGTATGACGCCTGATCATGCACTACAAATGTCATATGGTGCTTTACGGTGCTGTACGGTGATGCACGGACCCGCGCCAATGATGCTGGCGACCCCCAGCGAGATCGTGTCCGCCCATCCCAGCGACCGCTTCAGCGTCGCTTCTCCGCCTCCCCCGCCACCCCATTCCGCCGCCTCCACGATCTCCGCTTCCCCAGACCTACCGTCCCTGTCCTTAACCGTCGACCTGCGATGCGGGGATCGCGGCGAGTGCCACGTGTCAACTCCAGCAGCATCTGAGCTGGCGAAGAGCGTGCTGACCTCCTGCACGCGGAACACGCGCGAGCGGAGCCGCTGCCATGGCGTGGCTAGATCGCGCCGCGAGAGCATTGCTATACAAGCACACTGTCGCTACCCCCACATCATTACGTACGTTACACTTGCCATGTCGTCTTGGCGTTGCGCAGGGGGATTGAGATGGTGCTTTACAGCACAGCTGAATTTGGTTCGTTAGAAGCTGAGCTTGGTCGTTGGGCTGATTCGGAATTGGCAGGCAAAGAAAGCAATGGCAGCACTGGAAGTGTTCCAAAGGAGAGCTGGCTTTCATCCTGTTATGAGTGCAATTGAGTGAGCGAGGATTGCACTATCGAGACAAGATACAATGAGCGAAGAATATATAGCGAAACTACGGTGGTAACGGTAACGTGGGAAAATGGGGTGCGCGACGGGCCTAGTGCCGAGGTTTGGGGAACTGTCGAGGCGGAGGTCCGGAGCGCGGGTTACCAGCCGAACCGTGAGGTTGGGTCGCATCGTGAACAGTGGCGGGAATGGTGTCGAGGCGAATGTCGCGAGTGGTAACGGGATGTTGTGGGGTGCTGTCAGTGTTGTACGCGCTGAGCAGGGACGCGAAATAAGGAAAAGGAATTTTTCCTTACACTACCCCCCCCCCCCCCCCTCAAGGAGGCTTCCCTTACCAGAGCGCGTGTATATCCCGGAAATTTCTGCTGCGCAAGTAGTCGTTGAGGACGGGGTGGTTTTCGATTTTGTCCAGGGGAACCCAGTTGTCCTCGGTGGGTGTGCAGTCTCTCCAGCATATTAAAAATTCGACCCTTCAGGCTCCTCATGGGTCACGAACTCGGTGGCTCAAAATCGTTTCGGGCGTGATGACTGGCTCGGTCGGTGGTCGAGTCATGCTGGCTGGGCGATGTCGGGCCAGTTGGCTGGTGGATGGGATGTAGGGGCGAAGCAGGCTGTCGTGGAAGGAGGGGCTGACGTACCAGTCAGCGGGGAGGAGGAGGTGGGCGGTGACTGGTGTGACCATGTGGCTGATGCGGAATGGCCCACAATATCGGGGGCGGAGTTTCGGAGTTATGGGCAGGCGGATGTTTTGAGTGTCGAGTAGAATTAAGTCGTCGGGTTGGTAAGTGACTGGTCGGCGGTGGCGGTCGGCATTGCGCTTAGCGATAACGTTCGCCTTTTTAATTGCGTCTGCTGCCCTGGTTCGAGCTTCCTGTAAAATTTCTGCGAACTGTTGCGCTCGTGGCACCGGGTTGTCGGGATTCGGGGTAATGGGTACTGTAGGGTCTTGTCCGTAGTTCAGGTAAAATGGCGACTGTTGGGTCGTGGCGGATGGCGACTTGTTGTACGCGAATTCGATTAATGGAAGTTGCTGTTCCCAGGTGGTGGGGTCGTCGCACGTGGCCCGGATTAACTGTTCCATGGTCTGATTTGTCCGTTCTGTCTGTCCGTCGGTTTCGGGGTGGTACGAAGAACTGAACTGCAGCCTCGTGCCGAACTGCTGCCACAGGTTCCGCCAGAAATTGCTGGTAAACTTCGTATCGCGGTCGCTGATTATCGCTGCTGGTATCCCGTGTAATCGAACAATGGTTGCGATGAAGAGGCGGGCCGTTTCTTCGGCTGTGATTGATTTCTTGCATGCTGCGAAATGTGCCATTTTCGTCAGTCGATCGACGACGACCAAGATCGCGTCGTTTCCACTTGCACCCGCCGGTAACCCCGTGATGAAGTCCATCGTCACCTGCTGCCAAGCACGCTCTGGGGGTGGTATCGGTTGTAATTGTCCTGCCGGCCGTTTCCGTGATGATTTCATGACCTGGCAGGTGGGACACGATGCCACGTGTCGTTGCACGTCGGTCAACATTTCGGGCCAGTAGTAGTACCGCTGCAATTGCTGCCGTGTTTTCTCTACTCCGAAATGCCCTGAGGTAACTCCATCGTGTGCCTCCTGCAACAGTAATTCCCGTAGAAGTGTGTAGCCCGGTACCCAGATGCGATCAGTGCCGGTTTTTACGTAATAGACTCCTCTTGCTGCTGCAAACTGCTGTGAGTTTCCGCCTGTAAAAAATGGATCAGTTTGGTAACCGTGGGTAAATAGGCCTGTTAACAGTGGACTGGTCTGGGCGAGTAGTATGGCGTGAACTTGGGCTGTGGGTCGGGTCAATGCGTCGGCGATGTTCGATGCCCCTTTTTTGTAGGTGACCGTGTAGTGAAAATTCGACTCGAGGTAGTCGAGCCAGCGGATTTGTCGTGGGTTGAGGTGGGGTTGTGCGCGGAGGTACTGTAGTGACTTGTGATCTGTCCGTACTGTCACGTCGGCGCCGGTCAAGTAACAGCGCCACACTTTGAACGCATGCACAATCGCAAGCATTTCGCGATCGTGTATCGAGTAATTCTTCTCGGGCGGATGCAGTTTTCGTGATTCGTAGGCGATGGGCTGTAACCCGTTGCCAAAGTCCTGTAGCACTACGCCTCCGATGGCGATGTCGCTTGCGTCAGTAACCACTTCGAATGGGCGGTGTGGGTCAGCGATGCGCAGTACCGGCGGTGAACAGAGAACGTTTTTTAGGGTGGAGAAGGCAGCATGCTCTTTCTCCCCCCACGTAAAAGCGACCCCCTTCCTCAGCAAATCCGTAAGCGGGGCCGTTAAGCGTGCCATGTCGGGGACGAATCGGCGCACGTAATTAACAAAACCCAAAAAACTCTGCAGTTCCGTGATGTTCGTCGGGGGGTGCCCCGCTTTTACCGTGTCCAATTTCTTCGGGTCGATTTCAACTCCAGCCTCCGAAATAACGTGCCCCAAAAACTCTAGCCTGTCCTGAAAAAACTCGCACTTGGAAATTTTTGTCAGTAGTCTGTGTTTGTCAAGGACGGTAAATACTGCTTCTAAGTCTTCTAAGTGCTGTCGCTTATGTGTAAATGAACGAGGAATGAAAAGACTAAGGGAAAGTTGGGTACAAGTACAAACCCTAGAAAGCTGTACCCCATATGTGCTACCCCACTATAGCCTACAGCAGCTAAGTCATATAAATCTGACACACCCCCATAGGCAAAGTGGGGGAGGACAAGGGGTCACAAGACCAGTCAAGCAAAGCAAAGCAAGCTCAGGGTGGATCACAACGTCACCACACATTCCGAGCACAAGTTCAAGGCCACAAGGCCAGTTCACATGCAGGATTACATATATATATAAGGCTAAACAAGCAAGAGCAGGTGTATATATATATGTAACAGTACAAACAAGGTCAAGGGGTGAGCAAGTGAGGCAAGGTAGGCACAAGACCCAGCTGAGTACAGAAGCGCTGATGATCACAAGGCGCAAGTGCCTTGGTGAAGATATCAGCAGTGTTGGCCTGAGAGGCCACGTACGCAAGGCGTAGCTGACCACGCTGCTGTAGCTCACGAGCAAGGAAGTAGCGAAGAGCAATGTGCTTCGTTCTGTGCTCCAGTCTCTGCTCCCGACACAAGGCCAGCATGGCCTTGTTGTCTACGTACAGCACTGGAGGAGAACGAGGCGGCTCTCCGAGGTCAGTCAGCAGGTAGGTGAGCCAGCGAAGCTCCTGTGCAGCCATGGCCCCTGCGTAGATCTCAGCCTCCCAACTGGAGCCGAGAACAGAAGACGAGCGGGTAGCCCGCCACGAGACAGAGCCGGAACCAAGGCTGAAGGTGTAACCCTGTGACGACCGCTGCGTAGCCTGGTCGTCAGCCCAAGAAGCGTCTGCGTGCCCAGTGAGGACCACTGGACTCTGCCCTCCAAGCACAAGCCCCATGCCCGACGTACTGCACAAGTAGCGCAACACCCTCTTCGCTGCAGCCATGTGCTCCGGTCTGTGTCTCCCAGGAGCAACATAGCGTGCGAGAATGCTAAGAGGGTATGCAAGGTCAGGTCGAGTGCAGGTCATCAGGTACATGAGGCAGCCAACAAGCTCTGGGTACGGGCCACTCGACTCTACGGACTCATCCGAAGGCAGAGCTGAGAGCGAGTGGCGAGTAGGCAGAGGAGTGGCCTGAGGCGAGGAGTATGTGAAGCCGAAGCGCTGAAGGACCTGCTGCACCATGTGTGACTGAGTCAGGGTAATGGTGCGGCGTGCTCTGTCCCGGGTGATCTGCAAGCCAAGGTAGCTGCGCAGTTCACCCAGGTCTGTGCACGTGTGTCTCTTCTGCAGCTCGGACTTCACGTGGGCGAGTCCAGCAGTGTCAGCTGTGGCAAAGACCAAGTCGTTGACGTACACGAGGATGTAGAACGGCGGCAAAGAAGTGTCGGTGCGCAGAAACAGTGACGGGTCGGCAGTAGAGGGAGCAAACCCAAGAGCCGCAAGCGTAGTCCTCAGTGTGTCGTGCCACTCACGCGGTGCCTGGCGGAGACCGTAGACTGGCCGCCGGAGGCTCCACTGGGTGCCAGGAGGAAAAGTCCCAGTGAAGCCAAGTGGGCGGCGCAGCCAGATCTCCTCGTGCAGGCTGCCCTGCAAGAAAGCAGTGCTGAAGTCAAGAGAGTGTAGCTCGTAGTCACGGTGAGCAGCTATGTGCAGCAGTACCCGAAGAGTGGTCATCTTCGGGGTGGGAGAGAAGGTCTGAAAGTAGTCAACTCCCTGCCGCTGACTGAAGCCACGAGCCACGTAACGCGCCTTGAAGACAGGCGGAGAACCCGGCGGCCGCTTCACCCTGTAAATCCACATGCCACTGACGATGTTCGCCCCAGGCGGGGGAACCTCGTCAACGTAGGTGCCTGTGGACTTCCAGGAAGCCATCTCTGCGTCCATAGCTGCCTGCCACTGAGAGGAGTAGGGACCCTCTATCGCCTCCGCGTAAGAGCGCGGAGTCGGGATGTCAAGTGCATCCGGGTCTCCCTCAGGGGTAAGCAGTACGGACACGAGATGAGGTGAAGCAGCAGCCAAACACTGGAACTCCTCCTGTCTGTCCTCAAGGACGTCCGTGCCAAGGGCACACTCACCCCCGACGGACGGAGGACAGACAGACTCAGACGCAGCAACAAGACTAGCAGCGTAGTCTAGACGACAACGAGCAGCAAAGTCGACGAGCTCAGCAACTAGGGCAGACGCAGCAGTGGACTCAAAGGAAGGGTCAGTGACAAC